CAGAAAGTCATCCAACTCTTTGCAATCTTAAGTTTTTCTGTTCCTATAACCTGCTTCTAAATCTTGGCCCTCTTGTAGTTGATAAATTTTCATCATTAGTATCCATCTTGTGTTAGAGATACATTCTCACCATTAGAATTAATCTTGTATTCTGCCTTTTCACATAGGCTAACATTCATTGTTGTGGCATATATAATAGGCTTTGTAAAATTAACTCCCTACATAAATATATTTGGAATTCTTTTTTTAAATTATTTTATCATTACCCAATATGAACATCTTTTGTGGCCTTTTACCAGTTTCTCCCTAACCGTCTCCCTTTCCCCCTTCCCACCTTCTGGTGGTCTCAGTTCTGTTCTCTTCTTTTGAAAGTTCAACAATTTATTGTGATTGTTGTATCTTTTTTTTTTTCAGATTCCACTTATGAGTGAGGACATGTGGTATTTTTCCGTACCTGGTTTGTTTCACCTAACGTAATTTTCTCTAAGTTCATTTATGTTGCTGTGAATGGCAGAATTTCATTCATTTTTTATGGCTGAGTGGTATTCCATTGTATGTATATACCACATTTTCCTTATCTAGTCATCCATTGATGGACATTTAGGTTGGTTCCAACTCTTAGCTATTGTAAATAGAGCTGTGTTAAAATGGGAGTGCAGGTATCCTTTCCGCTGGATGATTTCCAATCCTTTGGGTATACTCCCAGCAGTGGGATTGCTGGATCGTATGGCAGTTCCATCTGTAGTTGTTTGAGGAACCTCCATAATGTTTTCCATAACAGCTGCACTAATTTATAGTCCTGCCAACAGTGTAGAAGGGTTCCCCTTTCTCCACATCCTCGCCAGCATTTGTTATTCTCTGTCTTTTGATACTGGCCACTCTAACTAGCATGATATGATATCTCAATGTAATTTTGATTTGTATTCCCTTGATGTTTAGTGATGTTGGACAATTTTTCATGTGTCTGTTGGCCATTTGTATATCTTCCTTTGAGAAATGCCTATTTAGCTCCATTGCCCATTTGTTAATTTGATTTCTTTTTCTATCTTTCTTTTTTTTTTTTTTTTTTTTTTTACTGTTGTTTGAGTTCTTTGTATATTCTGGATATTAATCTCTTGTCAGATGCATAATTTGTGAATATTTTCTCCCAATTCATAGGTTGTCTTTTTACTCTCTTAACTGTTTCTTTTGCTGTGCAGAAGGTTTTTAGTTTTATATAATCCCATTTGTTTATTTCTCCTTGTTACCTGTGCTTTTGGGGTCATGTTCATAAAGTCTTTGCCCAGTCCTACTTCCTGAAATGTTTCTCCTATGTTTTCTTTGAGGAGTTTTATAGTTTGGGTCTTATATTTAAGTCTTTAAAACATTTTGAGTTGATTTTGGTATATGGTAAGAGGTATGGGTCTAGTTTCATTCTTCTGCATATATCCAGTTTTCCCAGAACCATTTATTGAAGAGGCAGTCCTTTCCCCAATGTATGCTCTTATTGCCCTTGACAATATCAGCTGGCTGTAAGTATGTGGGTTGATTTCTGGGTTCTTTATTCTGTTCCATTGGTCTGAGTGTCTGTGTTTATGCTGGTACCATGCTGTACTATAGCTTTGTAGTATAATTTGAAGTCAGGTAGCATACTGCCTCCAGCTTTATTTTCTTTGCTCAGGATGGCTTTGTCTATTCAGGATCTTTTGTTCTTCTATATAAGTGTTAGGATTGTTTTTTTCTATTTCTATGAAGAATATCATTGGTATTTTGATGGGGATTGCATTGAATCTGTAGATCACTTTGGGTAGTATGGACATTTTCACAATGTTAATTCTTCTAATCCAAGAGCATGGAATGTCTTTCCATCTTTCTGTGTCCTCTTTAATTTCTTTCAGCAGTGATTTGTAGTTGTCATTGTAGAGATCTTTTACCTCCTTGGTTAAATTGATACCTAGGTATTTTATTTTTTTGGTGACTATCGTAAGTGGGCTAGCTTTCTTGATTTCTTTTTCTGCTAGTTTGTTATTGGAGTATTAAAATGCTACTGCTTTATGTGTGTTAATTTTATATCCTGCAACTTTAGTGAAGTATCAGCTCTAAGAGTTTTTTGGTAGAGTCTTTAGGTTTTTCTATATAGAGAAGCAGGTCATCTGCAAACAGGGACAGTTTGACTTCATCTTTTCCGATCTTGATGCCCTTTATTTCTTTCTCTTTCCTGATTGCTGTAGCTAGTACTTCCAATACTATATCAAATAGAAGTGGTGAGAGAGTGCATCCTTGTCTTGTTCCTGTTCTTAAGGGAGAAACTTTCAGTTTTTCTCTACTCAAGATGATATTGGCACTGGGCTTGTCATCTATGACTTTTACTGTGTTGAGATACTTTCCTTTTATACCTATTTTGCTGAGAGTCTTTAATCATGAGAAGATGTTGAATTTTGTCAAATGCTCCTTCTGCATCTATTGAGATAATCACATGGTTTTTGTTCTTGTTTTTGTTGATGTGGTGTATCACATTTACTGACTTGTGTATGTCAAACCATCCTTGCATCCCTGGGATAAATTCAATCCCACTTGAACATGGCGTACAATTTTTTTTTTAATATATTGCTGTACTCTGGTTGCTAATATTTTGTTGGGGATTTTTGTGTCTATGTTCATCAAGGGTATAGACCTGTAATTTTCTTTTTTTGTTGTGTCTTTGTCTGGTTTTGGTATCAGGTTGATACTGGCCTCATAGAATTAGTTTGGGAGAATGGCCTCTGTTTTGATTTTTTTCAATAGTTTGAAGAGAATTTATATTAATTCTTCTTTAAAGATTTGATAGAATTCAGCAATGAAGCCATCCAGTCTTGGGGTTTTGTTGTTGTTGTTGTTGTTGGGAGATGCTGATTACCTCTTCAATCTTGTTGCTTGTTATTGGACTGTTCAGGTTTTCTGTGTCTTCTTGGTTCCGTCTTGGTAGTTTGTATGTGTCCAAGAATTTATCCATTTCCTCCAGGTTTTCAAATTTGTTGGTGTATAGTTGTTTATGATAGTCTCTAATGATTCTTTGTATTTCTGTGGTATTGGTTGTAATGTCTCCTTTTCCATTTCTGATTTTTGTTGTTTGTGTCTTCTCTCTCCTTTTTTTAGCTAGCCTACCCAATGGCTTGTCTGTTTTCTTCATCTTCTCTAAAAACCAACTTTTTGTTTTTTTCATCTTTTGTGTTGTTAGAATTCTTGATGGCTGCATTTAAGACATAAATAATGAATGCTTAACAGGCTGACTTGAATCATCCAAAGTGTTTGAGATATTGTAGTACTCAAAGGTATGAAGTATACTACTCTATCTGAAGGGGGAAGGGATTAAGAAAGGCTTTTTAGAGGTGGTAACTAAACTAAATCTCAAAAGTGGGAATTTTCCCTGTGATAAAAGGGTTTAAAGGCTCCACAAGCCATGGAAACAACATATGGAAGAGTATGAGATTTTGAGAAACCGCAAGTTTTGATATAATTGGATAACAGAGCACTTGAGATGAGAATAGAAAGGGAGATGAACCAAATCACCAAGGCTGGGTATCGTTATTCATTATATGATGGACGTGAATGGAGCCTGTAATAGATTTTAAATGGGAAAATGACATGATCATATATTTGTGTTTTAGAAAATAGTATTACATGGGACTAATGCCACACTTTTAAATAGGTAATATCTACCTGCATTCTAGAAATTATTTTACTAAGTCTTACATGAATATAAATTAAGACAATGTAAATGCCAAAGAGCAATTAGCATAGGCCTGGTCATGAATGAAACCTGGGGTTGAAACCTACATTCACCCATTCCCTGCTATATGATAGTAGACAAATGATACCTCATTTTTCAATCTTAAAATGAGGATGTTATTTCTAGATCACAGAGTTGTTATGTATTGTAATTCATAAAAGTTAACTAGCATGTAATTGATACTGTATATTAGCTGCTATTTTAATATTACAGATGAATGCATTGTTAAAAATGCCATTGCTTGAAATGATGAAAATTATATCCATTTGGAAGTCTGTGGTTACTGAATAACCTATGATTATTAAGTAATCCTAAGGTGATGGCTAATATTGTTATGCAGTTCTAAAAAAATGGTTCAAGTCAGAATACACATTAATAGTTGATATATATTTTTACTATGACCTATTGACCTTTCATGGAAAACTTCACACTCATTCTTCTCTTAATTTTTTTAAGCTTTTAAAGAGTTCAGTTGAGTGTATGACTCTTACCAGTTTCTGTATATCTACTAAAAGCAGTGTCTTTTTTATTTTTTCAAGCACATCTTGACAAGATTGAGCTGTTTCTCTGAAGAAATGCTCTTTTTCTCATTTATCAATTGAATATTCTTTTCTTTGTCAAACATTTTCAGTTGAAACCATGCCTTTTTAAGGAGAATCTTGTCTGTTTTTCATGACAAAATGGAAAGAAAAGGAAGACTAACTCAACAAAATCTAGAAAGCACTGCCTTTTCTTACTAGCCAAAATGTGTGGAGTAATTGTACCTCTCTCAAACATGTGCATGATCATAGATACCAGACTATGGTTAGTGCAAAATCACTGTTGAAACCTTTGTTTAAAATAAAACTAGTTCTAGAAATGGAATAATTATTTTCTTCATGTTAAAATTTTAAGTTTAAAAAAGCTTTATATTGAAAAACTTATTAAAAGCTCTCACACTCAAATCCCAGATGCCCTTAAGTATACAAAGATGTAAGCATGTAATTATTGAGATTCCTGAGAAGAAAGAGAAAGCAACAAACAAACCTGCTTAATATGCCTAATTCTTCCAATATTCAAATTTTCATCAGTGATTTCATTTTCTAGATTTCCCACTATTATGCTGGCCATGTGGACACCACCCTGGGAAATATGGCCAAACGAATTCAAAACATGGAGACTAGAATAAATTACATAGTAATCCCCTTTAAGGCCAATTTAAAGTTATTCTTCATTAATCCTACATTATTCTCTCCTTAACACTCCTACTCAGGAAGCCCCTGTAGTGGCCCGAGCAGCCCTGTTCCTGGAATGTGCCCGTTTTGTTCACCGCTGCAATCGTGGCAACTGGCCAGAGTGGATGAAAGGGCATCACGTGAACATCACCAAGAAAGGCCTTTCCCGGGGACGGTCTCCCATTGTGGGCAACAAGCGGAACCAGAAGCTGCAGTGGAACGCTGCCAAGCTCTTCTACCAGTGGGGAGACGTGAGCTTTCGAATTTCTTCTCTAAAAATTAGGGCACTTGAATGAAGTGGAGAAGTTTTTTTATTAATTGTGTTGGTTTTGGAGACAATTTATTGAGTGTCTGTTGTGTACCAGGCACTGAATGAAACACTTTGGGAGGAAGTAAACAACTCATTTAATCCTCTCAATAAATCTATGAGGTTAGACATTACTATGTCCGTATCACAATTGAAAAAAATTGAAGTTTATAGCGGTGCCAAAGTTTACGTATCTAGTAAGCAGAGGAATCAATATTCCATCTCCTGGATTGGATAATCATCTTTGTGAAAATCATTGTTATAAATTGCTTAATACATTCTTATTTTGGTTTCTTATTCTAATTTATATTTTTCAAGACATGATTTTTTTTCCAACTTCTTTAGAAATGACTATGCACACACACATTAATATGTATATGAATAAGTGAATAAATGAAAAATGAATGAATGAAACTTCCTTAGTAATTCTAATAAAATGGACTCTTAAAATAATTATGACTTCTTCACCATAGGGGGTTAAAAAAACAAGGAATAACAAAAAATTCAAGAAGACTGGGTTTTTTTTTTCTGTTAATTTTAGACACAGCCAAGCCCAAACATACATAAGGAGGGCTCCATATATTCCTCTTTCCTTAAAGATTGATGGAGTTATTGTTATAATTTCACTTAATAATTCAGTTGAGTGCATCTGCTAGTGGGCCTGCTAACTCATGGTATTCTTCCTTCAGTTTTACCCACTTCTCTTTCACAAAGTGACAAAGTAATTCAAAAGGCATGAATTGTACCCAGTATGAGTGCAGTCTGTCTATACAAGTGTATTAATCTTTCCCTGTTAAATTGTTGTCCTTTGGATTTTCTTTATTATTTAAAGATAGCCTATGTAAGAAACCATATAAGATGTGTAGAACACCTTATTGATGATAATATCAGTGATCAGGATTCAGCACTGCCCTTTTCAGGATTCTATTGCATATTATATATGTGAGAAGACATGATTCTCCCATGGGACATCCATTTTTTAAATCAGTTAGCCAAGTTATTATGTGATTCCACCTTACTTATCCTGCATTTAATTATTTTGGATTTAACAGCATTAAGCACAAGAGTTTATACAAGTCAAGCAGTGTAAATGAATGCATTATCTTGAGATGCATAGATACACCAGTAACCATAGGACCATAAGGAATGAAATCCATTATCAAAAGCCTGTCATCATTCCATCTTGTGTTCTTTTATGGCTCATAAATTAGAGAGGAAGATCCACCAGGCTAGAAACCAAAATAGTGAACCTAAATTCTGAACTTGTTTTTTTTTCACTGAAACTGTGACTTTGTGCACCTCGCATAAATTCCTTGAGTCTCCATTTACTCGGTCGCAGAATAATGAGCTAACTAGATTTTTAAATAAATTATTAATGTAAGGATGACTATTCATTTTGTTATAAGCAGATTAAAATTATCATGGCATATGACAAGACTATGTGACAAGTTAGAATGTTAAATAAATAAATGCAAGTTATTAAACCCATCCAAAGGCCCTTGGTGATACATGAGCATTTGGACATCAGATTTCCATGTTAATTGTTTATTGCATCTGATAGAGAGGTTCATACCCAGTGGTTAGGTTTTTGCCACCAATATTTGAGAGAAGGTAAGATATGCTCATGATCCACCTGAGACTGTATTTCCTACAAAGCAAAATTTTTAATTAACAAATGATAAACCTTTATCATTGTCTTTCTTAGAGCAAAGGTAAAAAAATATATATAAATATCTTTAAGTAAAAAATTATGACCTTGCCACAGTGCTCTGCTTATCTGGAAGATTGTTCTTATCTTCTCCATACCCAAATCACACTTCAGCCCTTCTTGACTCTTGTCACCAGTGTTGAGCTTTTCCCCAAATGTTCAAAATAATGGTAATAATTACTGCTCTAATGCCTTACTGTTACTTTGTAAGTATGGCATATTTATTTTTTCTCTTTGAAAATTTTCCTTGACCCATGTACAGTGCTCCAGTAAAATCTGTTTTCCTGTGAAATATGAATTTTCCCCTAGATTTGCTTCATGAATAGTTGTGCAAACAATACATCTTAGAAGCATATGTCACAGTGGACAAAACACAGGTTTGGAAGAAAAACCATAGCTGGGGTGGAGGCGTTGGGGTGGAGAGTGGGGAGGGGGGCTGCCTCTAGGCAGATTCCTCATAGGTGGTACCTTTTAAATAATTTGTGAAGCATATGTTTACGTGGTCATTGAGAGACGATAATAAGATGTTAGAGGCAGAAATGTGAAAGCAAGACTTTGGGAAAGGCAAAGCAGGTAGTCAGAGGGTGCATTATTATTTGTCCTGTGCTCTTCCTCTAAGTAATTGTGCAGGAACTCCTCCTCCCTTCCACCTATGGGCTTCTCATTGTGAATCTTATCACTTGGTTACTCCTCTGGTCAGAAGACAAGTATTCAAGTTACTGCCCAGGCTTTCCCACTAACTAAGCATACTTGCAAAACTCAGTTTACCTCTTTCAAATTTAATGTTTTATTGGGAGTAATATTTAGTGAGTAACATTATATTATAGTGAGTAAAAATTTTTAACTACCTAGTTTCATGGATGCTGTTTCATGACCTTGCTAAATTCAGGGATGGCTCTTTTCTCAAGGAGACCAAATTTGTTTCTCTTAAAATAAAACTATCAGATGGAAAATCTAGATCACCAAGTGGCAGAGAGCAAGTGAAGAGTTTTTCTCACTCCGATCACCTTTATTGTTTATCAGAACCATACTAAAAACATTCAGCCCTCTGCTGGTTAAACGTCTTCCTATTTTCCACAAATGGCCAGGTAATTTTGAATACTCCCTCCCTCAGGAGAATTGGGACCTAAGTGTTTTCCTTCAATTGTCCAATTCTTCTAAGGGGAGTGGTGTTTTAATTCCTTTAATTATTTCTCCTCAGGTAGAAAAGATAGGCAATTATAAATAACCAATACTACTGTTACTTCACTTGAAAAGGTGCTGCTAGGCAGATCCTTCTCTTTCTTATTAATAACATTAGTTAGCATATAAGAATGCTTTTGGAGATTTCTCACAAAAATTTGTAAATTATAAACATGGGCTATATATGCATAATTTATTACTCTTGGGAAGGGGTGCTTGGACCTTCACATGACTTGAGGAAAAAAGACAACTATCATAAAAGCCAGTCCCATTTGCAGTCCTCAATATAGTAAACATAATTAATTGTATGATAAATTTGGGTATTTGACAGAGGGTTTCCCAAGACAATCCACATCTTTATATTTTTTACTTATAGAAGACAGATGGATTGGATGTGTGCTCTGTTCTTCAGCCTATTAAGGCACAAGAGCAGTGGATCACTGGAGACCATTAGCTTTTGAAAGTCTGCTGCGTGGAAGGAACATGAACATACCAATTTAATAAGCGTACCAATTTAATTTAATAAGAATAACAATTTACCACTGACAGATGAAATTACCTTTAACTTCAACAATTTGTAGACCACCACTTAAACTCTCCAATTGATAATCTATGTACTATATTTATATGTTTGTTATTCCAATTCTAATATTTCTGCATGTTTTATTAGTTTTATATATTAACAAATACAGTTGTTTTATTTTAGTCTTGTTTAGATTGAGAGAGTTCATAACAGAAGCCAATTCCACTGAAAAATTACGAAGTTTCTCTTCACACTATCCTTCCTACCCACTACCTCCAAAACTGCAAAAATCTCCCAAGCATGACAGTCCTGTAGCTCAGGGCAGTCCAGTCTCCTGGGATTCTGAATCCACTCTCCTCTTGTCTCTCATCTTCCTGCAGATTCATATCAGAACCTTAGTGAAACTAGGGATGACTCCCTTTCCTGAGATAGAAGTGATGTGGGATCTTTTAAAATAAACAATGAACTTTGGAGTCACCAAGATGGATAATTAGACCAATTATCTGGGTTTTCAACCTTATTTTCCTTTTAGCATATTCTCTTTCATATTTATCTAAAGCAATTTAAAGACCTTTTACAACATACACTGCTTTCGGTTCTCTGTTGGCTAGATTTCTTCCTCTGTCCTTTTCTTTTTTATTTTCTAAAAGTCTGAGCAATTACAATTTCTCCAGTGTTATGGTTTTGAGGGCAAAAGTGGGATTTGCCTAATTCCTCGATGGGGAGAGAAGATGTTTTGACTCCCTTTTATTACCTATCTCATTCAAGGAGGGTTTTATTGAGAGGCCTCTCTGAAATGACAGTCACAATTGCTAGGCCCTTTGGCTTCTCTCAAGAAGGGGGACACTTTTAATTGTCAAGCATTAAAGGGTTTCAGATTTATAAAGAGGTTTCAACTGAGAGACTTCCTGAACAGATGTTTTCAGGGCAAATGTCCTCTGACTTTTCTGCAACATTTGACAGCCTGGCTGCCCCACTTCTCGCTTCTTTTTTGTGTTCCGTGATCATTATGCTCTGGAGTCTCCTCACATCTCTAAGCCCAGTCCTCTGTCTCCTTCACTTGTCCTCTGCCTTCCCCCCTCCTCATAAATGTAGACACTTCCCAGGATCTCCTTTCATTTCTTCCTGGATAATTTCCTCCAGGGTTACATTTATCCCTGCATTTCCAACTGTTATGTGTATGCCTGTAGCACAGACTTCTCTATCCGTAGCACTTTTCAGATGTCAGGCCTGCATTGCCAACTGTACTTCGGAGGCCAGGGAACACATTTGGCGAAGGCCTTGGTGGTGGTGATAGTGACCCATGGGGTCTCACATGGCAGAAAATGGCAAAGCAGAGAATAACTTCTCATGTGCTCTTCTTTTAAAGCCCTAGAACCACACCCTGACCACCATTATTAATCCATTCACTACAGCAAGGTCCTACAATCTAATCACCCCTTCAAGGCTCTGCCTTTCAAATACCATAATGGGATTTCCCACCCTCAACAGTTACAGTGGGAATTAAGTTTCTGATACATGAACTTTGGGGACATAGTTCAATCAATCCACAGCAAGCCCCTTAGGTCAGATCTTTAATACTTCCCATCTGGATGAGTAAAGTATTTTCCTATTTGGTCTCCTCCCCACAGTCTCTCCTCATCTAATCCATCCTACACAGCACCAGCAAAGGGATCTTCCTATGGCACAACCCATTCATACTGATCTCCTAGCCTCCAGACTTGCCCTCCTCCAACTCATTCTCCAAACTGCTGTCAGAGTGATTAGGATAAAATGCAAATCGGCTTGTGTTTCTTACCCACTTAAAATGCTTCAGTGGCCGTCCTTTTTCTTCAGGGGTAAAACCCAAATTGCTTAGCCTGTCATCACTGTCCTCTTTACAACCTTTGCTTAAACCATACCGAGATTATGGATGATGAAGTCAAATGAGTTAATGTACCTAAAGAATGTTTATCTCAATTTTTTGCATCTAATATGTGTTCAATAGTAATAATAGATTACAATAATTTCTGATAACAGAAATGGTTTGTCTGCATTCCTAGGCAGCTAGTGAAATGTCCTTCCACCAAGTGATTGGGTTACTCCCCCAATCATTTTTCAAATGCAAAATGAAGTTCATCTTCAAGAACTGTAGGATCTAGTCCCAACCTACCTTTTCAGCCTTCCTGCACATTGTTTTGTCTCATAAAATTGTGCTTCAACCAGGTGGCCTACTATCAGTCCCTGAACACATGGTGCATTTCCCTAAATATGGATCGTTTGAGACCCACCAACAGAGTCTCTACTGTCCCCATTTTCTATCGGCCAAAACACCAATTCCTCAAAGTCTACAGCAATGAGACTTTCTGAACTGAATTTAATCTCTCTATCTTCTGAACTAATGTAGTGCTTTCAGTCTCTTTTGCCACTTAATATGTTGTTCTGGCATGTTATTACCCCACAATAGTCTGTATGCTCATTAGGGAAAGAACACAAAACATAGATAACCAGACACCCTGTGTTTGAATCCCAGTTCACAGCCTGCTGAGTGACCTTGAGCAAGTCTCTCAACCTTTCTAACCTTTCTGTTTGCCAAACAGTGATCCTTCTGTAGGTAGGTTTGTAATCTACTAGGGCACATCAAACAAAATACTAGTAATACATTACTAGTGTACTATAACAACTTATTGAACTTTTTGTTTTACTTAATACCTAACAAATTACCTTGCTTAATAAATATTGGATGAATAAAGGGGCCGGCCCGGTGGCGCACTGCTACAGTGCGCTGCTTGGGAGCGCGGCGGCGCTCCCGCCGAGGGTTCGGATCCCACATACAGACCGGTTCCCGCTCACTGGCTGAGCGAGGGGCGGGCACAGCACCGAGGGTTGCGATCCCGTTGCCGGTCCCGGTCCGGTACGGGCGCGACACTGAGGGTTGTGGTCCGTTGCCGGACACGAAAAAAAGACAAAAAAAGAGACCAAAAAAAAATATTGGATGAATAAAGGAAAAAGGAATAAACATAGACCTATGGCATTTTCTAGTTCACTTTAATATTTATAAATGTGGACTTAATTTAAACTGCTTAGTTACAATACCCTGGTAGGACTGATATAGAAAAATTTCCCTTTGAGTCTTACTATTCAGTTCATTGGCTCCACTCCAGTCTCAAAAGTCATGTCTTCTCCTTTAAAGGGGATCCCCAAGATAGTAGCATCAGGACAAGGCCTTTTGTGTTGATGGTGATAGTTTTGTTATTAGGAACCTGCTATATCATTTTACACTATTCTCATTGATGAGGTTTTTGCTTCCTGGTTTTTAGCTCCTCGCTTAATTGCAGAGTTTCAGGTGACCTCTTTGTTTCCAGGTATGTAAGATATTAAAAAACTTGTGTTTTTATTTAATGAATTTTGGGATACATTTTTGTATGTTGGTTTCCAGTAGTCAGTCTAATTTTCTTGCATACCCAGAATTTAGTAACTTTTCTACATATTTTCAAAGTATGATACAGGAAGAAAGAAGAAAGTCAGTTGAAATTTCACTCTTACTAATGCACAGAGTAACTAAACTGTCAACCCCAAGTTCAATATTCAGTTCAGCTTTTCCCTAACTCTCCTGTCTCATCCTGTGTCCCTTCCATCATTATACACACTATGTAGCTGGAATATAAAAGGAATTAGACAGAGGTAGTGTTTATAGTCTCTTCTCATATACAATTACTTTTGATAAATCATACACTAGTGCATGATGATTTAGAAGTACAGGTAGCAAGGCTATTGGTTCTATGAATACTGTGTGAAAGCCAATATTGTCCATGTGCTTATATGATGAGTTATTAAAGCCATATTTCTAATGTTATTGAGTATTCTACCAAAAGGAAAGTCAGCATGTATCATGGAAGGGGGAACGAAATCCATACACGGAGCCGACAAGTACATATATAATGGCAGATAGAAATAAAATTGCCGCAACGGCATTCTTGCCAACCTCCAAACTCATTAGCACGACAGTGACATTCTCCTAAAATAGCTTAATCAGAAGCACTGTGAGGAACTGTGCCTTATTTTTTAACTGCAACAAAATCCTCCATTTAAAACAACTGCATATTGCCTTATATCAGACCTATAAAATAAGTGATCTTTAAGTAAATGGAAATATTTTTAAAAAAACTTTTGTGTGAGCATAAAGAGGTATTATTCTAGTTTCTACAAGCCTTTTTTTTTTTTTACATGAATTATCCACATTGTGGTATTTTATTTCACTGAGTTACACCTTATTCTGAATTGGGAAAGATGTTTGATTATCTTTCACACAAGTTTTCTGCATATGTATCTTAACATCTTATCCAATGGTACTTATGAATGGATTTTTATATATACATTCAAAAGCAGTATTTTGGCAACATTCGTGAATGATTCTCATCGTGGTCCTTCTGGAGAAAGTGTCAATGCCTTCCATCTCTGGGTTTCCATATTGGCAAACATGGTGGTAACAACACTATGGCAGGTAGAAGAGGCTTATGCTGGAAATGATGCCCATTAATTGATTGATTATGTCCTCTATACTGCAAGAGTCTATTTTAGAGTCTAATGTACTTGGTGCTGTTTCATTCTTTTTCTCCCCATGTTAGGCAATTGGCATCCGATTGAACGAGCTGTGCCACGGGGAAAGTGAGAGCCCAGCCAACCTGCTGGGTCTCATTTATGATGAGGAGACCAAGAGGAGACTGAGAAAGGAGGATGAGGAGGAAGACTTTTTAGATGACAGTAAGGAGACTCCCTTTACTACAAGAGCCCCTGCTTGTAAGAACCTCTGCTTTAGGAGCACTTAATACTTCTCTTTCTTCTCTCATATTCTTACCACCTTCCCATGTCTCCCCATGGCACCTTTCCCCCTTTTCCCTGTGCATGGATGTAAAGCATGTGCATAAAGCCACGCAAAGAGAAGGCAAGAACCAGAAAGAGAAGAAGACAGACAGGAGCAAGGGGCTGCAGGCAATGTGGAACATCCGTCACTTTTTAGTCTCTGACTCTTGCTATTGTACAAAGATTATTAGGCCTCTCTGAGTGAATAGAGTCGTGGATAATTACTGTCCCAGAAGAGATTGATTCAGATTTTGTGTTTTGTTATTGTCCTTGGAAATAAAAACGTCAGACCAAATAGAATTGACTGTAAAATACTTCCAAATTACTAAAGTACTGAAATATTTAACAAGTATATCATAGTATTTAACTTGAAATTGAAATATCGAAATATTTGGAGGTTGCTATAACTGTGAACATCTGCTGTAGTCTATTTATTTAAAATTTAGCATTGATTCCTATCATCACAGAAGAGTAGAGTCAAAGAGATTCCTGTTGCATCCCTCTCCAACACCATTTTGTTCATACGTGTGTTCTGCACATTACAGGCTTGTGTGTATGTGTACCACTGCCTTTTATAGAGTTTAAAATTCCAGTTATGGCTATGGAATTAGTATCTTTATTTGATGAAGACAGCACAGTTTTTTCCTCTTGACATTCCTTGGTGGTTTGAAATTCAAGTTCCCTGGTTATATCTTAAGGGTTGTCCTTAGTTAAGTGATGCCAAGCCTACTGCATCTTTGCAGTCATGAAATGTAAAAGGATAACTAGAGTGTAACACTGGAAAGAACTAAATAATAACTCTAAAAAATTATCTCCTTTTTACTTCCACACCAAGACTTTTTTTTTTTTTTTTGCATTTTGCATCATTTTACCCCTTCTAAGACCTTATCAAGTTAGAGCAAATAATCTTGACTTAGCTGTTAATAGAACACCAAATTCTTATGTCAGTTTTTCAACCTCATGATGAAAGTTGGCCTCAAAAATAGTCTAGATTATCTTAGAATGACTCACAGAATTGGGAATGATCTATTGGAAGACTCAAGGAATATCTAGCAATCACAGAAACTTGTGAAGTCCTGCTATGAGACCCATTCAGCCAGAAAACATCCTCAAACTATCCTGGATCTCCCAGAGGCCCTTCAAAACAGAGAGAAGCTGAAACAACAAGCAATGGATGCTTCCTTGTAGGCCAAAATGAACTCAAATCTATATTAGATCACATAGGTATCGTTTACCAATATGTTATTCCTGTGGTATCTTAGCTTTCTGTTGATACCATGCAAAAATCAATTCTTGTTCTTTATAACAGGATAGTTCAGATGATAGTGATCAGAGAACCTGGTTTAAGACCAAGTTCATTCTCTGTAGGACTGATAAGAAGAGTCTGGATAATAACCACAGGAGTAAAAGGACAGATCCAGAAGTTCATACTGAATGCCTAGTGTTCAGTTAGTTTTTTTTTTTTTTTTAATTTCACACATCCAGACAATATTTAGTCATATAGTCTCCATGGAATGTAAGATTGCTATCTCTGATTCTGTTCCACTTTCAAGTCAATACATAGCTCATCTTGTATTTAAAAGCTAATTATGGTGAAAGCAAGTTTTGGTCTGGAAATTCTGCAGGACCTTGTCTCTCCCATTCTTAATGACAGTCAAAGTCTCCAGCCACACATTAACTCTAGAGAGAAAATAATGGTTTTCATAAGGAAATGATAGCCCAGATATCTTTAGAAAACCATCATTTCCACCTGCTGTCAACAGAAATCATGAAGTATGTATTCCATTCAATTGAGAAAGCCTAACACACCTAGAAAACATTTAAAAGATATTTTTAGTAATGTTGATATGTAATGATATTGTGACAGCCTGATGACTTGATTCATTCAAAACAGATAACTGTTTTTACTTTCTTTTATGAGAGGCAAACTCTATATTACTTTGGTCTTCTTTTCTGAGCTGTGGTAATTAATCAGTGCACTTCTGCATAAGCTTTGATGATACATATCCGAAAACTAATCCTGAGAATTCTGAAAGTTTTTAGAGGGTCATCTTGACCATTATCTGTCTTTAGAGAAAAATCCATTATTTGCCCTGTGATGGATACAGTATTTTGCTAATTCAAAGACCAGTGTTCCTCAAAGCAAAAGAGAATATTTGCACACTTCTAGCATAGCTGCACCTTACCATGACAGGTTAGCCCATATAAACTGTGCAACATAGGTGATTAGATAAGTATGTCTTATCAGTGTTGCAGAAACACATTTGGATTAGAGCCAAAACAACTTCACTGTCCTCAGAACATCAAGACAGACATCCCTCATAAAATGAGCCAATGGAATTTTCGCATTTCCATATCTAGTTCAATGCTGTATACATAGTCTAAATCTGATTAAATACCAGTGTGGAAATCTTCAAGACTACTTTCCATTTCTGTTTTTATTAAAAGGCTTTCTAGTCTAGTTGGAGCTATATTTTGTTACTCTATAATGCCTAAAAGTGAATAATTTAGTTCTGCTTGTCTGATATTTTAATACTAAGGCACTTGTGATAGAATTGCAAAATGGAGAAAGAGAGAAGTGTATGGTAGTATACACATTATGCTAAAGGAAGTAGGTAAATTGAACTTGTATAGTAACGTTCTCATATTCAGTTTGATTTTACATATGTGTAGCTGTGTCCATCAAACCGTGCCTCTGCGTTTTGTATTGATTTGTCTTCTTATGAAAGAACTCTTTCATTTCACAGGTACTGTGAACCCCTCTAAATGTGGCTGTCCCTTTGCCTTGAAGATGGCGGCGTGCCAGCTTCTCCTGGAGATTACCACCTTCCTGCGGGAGACCTTTTCTTGCCTTCCCAGACCTCGCACCGAACCGCTGGTGGTACGTTAAAGCATGAATGTTAATAATTAGGCTACTTGGAGAGGTCAGACATGTGGCTAGGTTTTCAGTATTCATAGCTTTCTTAACTGTCCAATGGCCAATATATCACATTTAAAAATTCAACCAAGGGATATTCATACATAAAAAGAAATGGTCTTTTCTCTATTAAAAATAGTAATAGCTCCAAGGCTGACCTAGAAATCTCTAAAGATAGCACTACAGGGTACAATGTTTGCTCACTGTCAGTTATGCTGGGAATATCTGAGAACTTTTAGGTTCCTTTATTCTACAAAGTATGCAGAGTTTTATCGCTAACGTTTTCTGGAACTCACCTACAGATATTTTCGGTACTAACTGCTCATAAATCCATATAGAAATGTGCTTCCAATGAATATTCTCATTTAAATTATGGGTGAAAAGACTTCAGTGTTTACTGTGTAAACATCCTCAAGCTTATGAAAGTATTTGAAAAAGTTCACGGAAAAATTGAATTAAAAGATAGTAGGAATCCTTCCTTGAACTTTTTGAAGACTCCTTGTATATTTTTATTTCTGTAGCATTTCTTATGGGCTATGAATAGGGAGAAAATGACCACACACACACACCCACACACGCACTCAGGTATCATGTACCATCAGAACCTAATTGGTTTAACTGAGGGTACAAACACTGCGCAAGAGCTAAGAGTCTTTACAGAGCACGTGGTGCAGGGGAACATCTTGATGCCAATTTTCCTTGGCTTTTGATTTCCTAATGGGAACCAAGTTTCCAGTTTTTGGTGATTTTTGTTTGTTTGTTTGTTTGTTTTTATCACAGGCATCATCAGCCAGAGCTGAGGAACCAGCCAAATTCTTTTTTTTTTTTCTTTTTATGCAAGGCTCTTTTACACTCTTTTAAACTCTTTTACCAGAGAAATGGTTACACTAACAATCTGTCTGCTTCCATTTAAGCATATTTGACAGTCCACCAGCTCTCCTGCTTTTTAAACCAAATTAGGCCTCAGCAAGGCCATTCCCCAACCCTGGGGTAGGGACAGGGGTAGGTGACAAAGGAGTCAGTGTTCTGGTGTCACTGAGCAATGCCTCTGCCTCTAGTTTTTCAGTGTTCTAGAAAGCTTATGCATGTCCTCACACTGTAAAACATAAAATGGATATTTTCAAGTTGGAAATATTTATGAGTGAAATGTGAGTTTTGAAGAGAAGCATACCCACATTTGGACTGTAAAACTGAACTATATGGATATTGGAGAAGGAAGTTCCTTTTGCCCTTATGTAATTTCATATTAACCTGCAGCTTTAATTTTTTGAATGTCACTTTTACTATTATATTGAGTTTACTCTATAAAATCAAATCAAGGCCACCCCTCAACATGTGTTTAGTTTAATGTCACGTATAATAAAACATCTAATCTGTAGGCCTCTATCAGTGTTATCCCTATCAACATTCTAACTGTACTGCCTTCATAAAGGCACAGACTATACCTACTTTTAAGCTTCCAGATTTTTGTTGGTCATTATTTTGATTGAGATAAAAACATAAGAATCTTAAATTTTGAATCAGTTATTTTGATTAATATTCATTATTATTGTAATATTTTTTACTTTTTAAAAAATGAATCAAATCTTTAAAAAAATTACCATATAACCAACTGACAGATTAGTAGAAATGCCAAGTTATGACAAGAAATGAAGCTAAAATAGGACTTGCAGTCATTCAGTCAACGAGAAATTTTTTTTTTTACTTTTATATCACCTTTAACTAGGTCTCAGAAATCTTTTATTCAGTTCACAAGGATTTTCATGTTTTTTATTGAACCATAATTGAGTATATATATTTGTGGGGAACAGAGTTGAATATCAATACCCGCGTACCATATGTGGTGATGAAATCAGGATAATTAGTATATTCATCATTACACAGTGTAATCATTGTTTGTGACCCTTTACCAATTTCCTGCTAATCCCTGCTCCCCCACCTGCTTTCCCACCTCTGGTGGCCTCAGTTCTGTTCTCTCCTTCTGAAAGTTTAATGTATTATTGCAATTTTCACTGTTAAGTATAGGTTTATGTATTGTGTGGAGATGTGACCTTTATAAAATATAGGGGGAAAGAAGCCTTTTCTCATGTTTAAGCTTTCTAACTATAGTTGATAGTAAAGAAAACTCAACCCATGTTCTAATTCTGAAAAAAGCAATGAGAATAATAAAACTATTTTACAATACAGAAAGCTTGAAATTTTTTTTGATTTGTGGTAGGAGCACCTAATATGACATCTATGTTCATAACAACATTTAAGTGTATACTATGTTATTGATGACTACAGCTACAGTTTTGTACAGCAGATCTCTAGAGCACATTCACCTTGCTTGACTGACATGGTTTGCCCATTGGTTAGTAACTTTCCATTTCCCCCTCCTCCCAGTCCCTGGAAACCACCACTGTTTGATTCTATGAATTTGGCTATTTTGAATACTTCATGTAAGTGGAATCATGCAGTATTTGGCCTCCTGTGACTGGCTTATTTCACTTAGCGTAATGTCCTCAAGGTTCATCCATATCGTTAACGAATGGAGGATTTTCCTTCTTTTTTGAGACTGAATATTTTTTAAGAAATTGTATGAAATAGTGAATCTACAGACTAAACATAAATATAGTCAAGTTGAAATATCTAAAGTTTCAAAAAAACACTTGCTGAAAAGGAGCTTGTAGACCTTTGGAATATTTTATTAGTTTACTAACATTTTTATTAGTTTACTAACATTTTAAAAATAAATAGCTGCATTAATGTACAGAATAATATAGAGTAGAATAAAAATCATATTAAAAGATATAAACATTCTGGGATCTGATACTTTGGGATAGGAGAGGATCGAGAACACAAACTTTCTACCAAGAAAAAGTCTTTCTAATAGAAATGTCATAAGGCCATTTCCAAAATGGAAGAGATTTTCATGTAAAATATTTGTTTGGAAAAGTCCTAGTTACATTCAAAATGTGGAAGAAAAAGCAAAAATACTTTAAGTACAATAATTAAAACAAAGGTTAGTTTTAATTTGTTTAACTGCGGTTATTCTTAAAATAGATTTAGGAAAATTCAGGAAGTTACTGAGTTGGTGAGAAATGTAGGTTAAAAAAAGGAAAAAATTATATCAAAGAGTATTAAAACATTGTTTAAAAAAATATTTTTACCAACTTACTTTTACCCAGATAGATCCCTACATTAACTTAATTAGTGTGTTTTTGTGTCCCAAAGAAACTTCTTTTATTCACTCTTTTTGTCAATCATACAAAATAAATTATGTCTAAAAAAGAATAGGAAAATGTAGCATTTTTACAAGATTCATAATCTAAAAGAGCAATAATAATCAAATTTTTTCTTAATGTGATCTTTCAAATGCCCAACTGGCACATGAAAAAATGCTCAACATCACTAATCATCGGGGAAGTGCAAACCAAACCACATTGAGATTATCACCTCACCCCAGTTAGACTGGCTATTATCAAAAAAACAAAGAAAAACAAATGCTGGTGAGGATGCAGAGAAAGGGGAACCCTCCTACGCTGATGGTGGGACTGTAAATTAGTACAGCCATTATGGAAAACAGTATGGAGGTTTCTCAGACTACAGATAGACCTGCCATATTATCCAGCAATCCCACTGCTGGGTATATACCCAAAGGAATGGAAATCATGTCAAAGGGATACTTGCACTCCCATGCTTATTGCAGCTCTATTTACAATTGCTGAGATAAGGAACCAACCTAAATGTCCACCAATGAATGACTGGATATGGAAAATGTAATATATATACACAATGGAATACTACTCAGCCAGAAAAAAAAGAAGAGTGAAATTCTTGTTAGATTTGGTGAGACAGAGAAGAGAGAGAGACCTGAGTCAGGAGCCATTTCAGCCAAAAGGTTTATTCCTCTAATGTGGAGGGAAGACTGAACCAGATCAGTTACCACTAACTAAGGAAAGCACGGGGTTTATAAGACTTTTAGGGAGGGTTCAGACAGAGTAATTGGCAATTTCAAAATCAATGGTAGGCAAGGTGACACAGCCCTTATGGTCTGATGACATTTGGTAGGTTAAGTCACAGGCTCTTGATTAGCCACTATCTCAGTACAAAGCATTCCAGCCTAAAGCCTGCTAGACGAGGCTCACAAGACGTTCCTTTGATGATAAAGGTCATGTTTACCCAGGAGAGGAATCTCAGTTCCTGGAGCAGAAAAGGGAAAAGGGTGGAGGAGAAGGGGGAAAGTTGCTTAACCTGGCTGTGCTGATGTTAAACTAGCCATGAGGCCTAATAATTCTGCCACTCGCAGCAACATGGAAGAGCTTGGAGAAAATTATGTTAACTGGAATAAGCCAGCCACAGAAAGAGAAATACCACATGTCCTCACTCATAGTGGGAGCTAAAAATAAATAAGAAAGAAAGAGAGAGAAAGAGGAAGGAAGAAAGAACAATCATGATATGCTGAACTTTCAAAAGGAAAGAACAGAATTATGGTTACCAGAGGTGGGACAGGAGGAGGAGGAGGTTATCGAGAAACTGGTTAATGGATACAAAGAATGATTACGTTTTCTAATGTCGAATATAATAATTATCCTAATCATCACATCTTGTATACAGGTATTGATATTCATCTGTTACCTCACAAATATATATAATCAATTATGTTCAATAAAAAATAAATATAATAAAATAAATGTTATCTTTCAAACTTGAGAACAATAAAGGGATATTTTTTAAACAGAGAATTTTGTTTATAAAGCTGCTGGTCTATTAAAATATTTCCCAATTAATTTAGTGAAACCAATAACCAATGACCAAGTAACATGGAATTAAAACAATAATTCCAGTCAAATGCATAGATGAATTTATAATTATAAAGAAGAAGGCAGTGAGAAAGTCTCTGTATGTCTACATTTTTTATTAGGGAAAACAGCATATTGAATGTTTTCATGCAAGATTGTGCTAGGGGCAGTACCACCTGTGCCAATGGGATTCAATAAATAGTGTTATAAAAAATATACTTCGGGATTCCAAATGTTCCTAACATTAAAAATACAGGAGCTAAATACAATCATATATACCAAGACTAAATGGATGCACATCTATTGAGAGTTGATGATGAGCAAGATGGTGTGATGGTGCAGGGGTGGAGAAGGTCGTGATACAGAGATGATACATTGTAAATAGGAACCAACACATGAAAAACTATTTCCTGAAGCAAAATATAAGAGTGGAACTGAGAAAATAGCAGAGAACCATGGCTGGCCAAAGAAGGGGCTGGAAAAGTCCGAGGAACCTTCTTGGAAGAGGTCACATGTAAATGTAGCTTTGAAAGATGAGATTAACAAGCAAATAAAAGAAGAAATTGGAAGAGATAACTACATTCGATAATCAGAATTGTTATATTATTCGGGCCGGCCCAGCGGCGCACTGGAGAGTGCGCCGCTTGGGAGCGCGGCGGCGCTCCCGCCGAGGGTTCAGATCCCATGTGGTGACCGGTTCCCGCTCACTGGCTGAGCACGGCGTGGGCGCGACACCGAGGATTGCGATCCTGTACCGGTCAGTAAAAAAGACAAAAAGGAAAAAAAAAAAAAAGAATTGTTATATTATTACTTTTTGTCCCAACTAAGAAATTTTTCCAATTAAATGTGGCTACCAAAATGAAAACTAGATTAGGTTATTATTTTTCCTAAAAGAGATTACTTTCAGGGAAGCAATTATATTCTTAGAATATTTTTGACAGTGTTAAAATAGATTCTATGTGGTTCCTTTTTCTTTTTTCTAGTTGTGATATAATTTTCTGAGTACCAAAGTGTAACTTCTTTTCTAATGCCAAAGGGGAAAAAAAATAACAACATGTACAATCGAAAATTTTATCTTATGGTGACAATCAAAAGCATAAGATTTTAATCTTGGTGCAAACGGGGTTTTTTAAAAATGTTTTTGTTTTCTATTTCTATTCAAATCTGAGGCTATATTATATTATAATTAGAAAAATACTGCATAAAAATTAAGTTAGGGTTTTAGATATTTTTCAGGTCCTCCAAAAGACTTTTATACATTAATCAATAAATTAAATATGGATGAGCAAGTCTCTATTCATAGAGCAGGTTAAACTTTCAACTTGGGGCCTCACAGGCCAAACTCCTACTAAATAATTATACTCCCCAAGGCTTACCTTAAGATATGGGATCATTCTGTTCATCAACAAAGAGTGATGGAACCTTTTTATACATAAAATTCCCTCAATGCATGATCCAGTTTTAAGCCTCCAACCCCCACAATGAGGTTTCTTGAGCCTTGACTGCCTTCCCCCTCCCCTCGTTTGCCAAGCTAACTGTACTTAATCCTCAAGACTTAACTCAAACATCACCTCTGTATTTGTGTTCTGTTTCTCTAGTAACAAACTACCACAAATGTAGTTGTCTACAACAGCACAAACATATCATCCTATAGTTCTGTAGGTTAGAAGTATGAGGCAGGTGTCCTAGTAAATCAAGGTATTGGCAAGTCTGCATTTCCTTCTGGGGCTCTAGAAAAGAATGGGTTTCCCTGCCCTTTTTCCATCTTCCAGAAGCCACCCACATTCTATGGCTCATGACCCCTTCTCCGTCTTCAAAGCAAGTTGCAGGGCATCTCTCCCATCTTTCTTCCATGGTCACAGCTCCTCTGACCGCAGCCTGAAATTCTTTACTTATAAGGATTTGTGTAGTTAGATAGGGCCCATTTAGCTAATACAGTATAATCTCCCTATCTTTTTTTTTTTTCCTTTTTGTCTTTTTTCCGTGACCGGCAATGGATCGCAACCCTCAGTGTTGCGCCCGCACCTCGCTCAGCCAGTGAGCGGCCGCCGGTCTGTATGTGGGACCCGAACCCTCAGCGGGAGCGCCGCCACACTCCCAAGCGGTGCACTGTAGCAGTGTGCCACTGGGCCGGCCCTAATCTCCCTATCTTAAGGTCTTTAATCTTCATCACATCTACGAAATTCCTGTTGCTATGGAAGGTAACATGTTCACAGGCCCCAGAGATTACAGCAGAGACATCTTTGCAGGGGGGCCTTACTCTGCCAATCACAGTCTCCAAGTCTGATTTGTAAGCTCTATCTCTCAGTCTTGGAATTTGTCACTAATTTGCCTTCTCAGTTTCTACCTTGGCATTCTGAGTTCCTTTAGGAAAGAATTATTTCTTATTTATCCTGCAGTACCTGACGCATTCATACTCAAGGCATGATTATTTAATAAACAGAGAAATGCCAAAGATGTAGCTAAAACTGCAGACAGGAGTTAAAAGGTAAGGAAACTAGTTCTGAATCTGGAACAAGGCTCCCGCTTTTGGAAGGTAAAACGTGTGAGGAAAAAGGGGAACCTGTGAGTTTGGGAAATTTTATGTATTTTTTCATTCAAGAATAGCTTTTCCTGTCCATAATCTAAAACTGTCATTAGATAAAGGAGTGTGGCTGTTTAAACGCAGCTGTGTGTCATTCAAAATGTAGGAAGGTTTGCTGCAAGACCAGTGCAGGGCTGGGGAGATACCAGCCCTCACGTACTCCACACTGACATTTCAGGACTTGGAGACCTGCAGACATCATCTGGATCCTGAGATGGACCGGCACAGATATGAGAGGAAGATCAGCTTTGCTGGGGTCCTGGATGAAAATGAAGACTCAAAAGATTCTCCCCACAGCAGCAGCCACACCCTCAAATCAGATGCAGGTGTTGAGGAGAAGAAAGGTATGGAAAAGCAAGAATTATTTCACGTTTCAGGTTTTTTCATAGGATATTTGGATTGGGGTCTAAATAACAAAATATGTGCTCAAATTGTTACGATACTGACTGTGAAGGCTCAATGAAATAGGAAACCATACTAGTTGAAGGTTGGACTCTGCAGTCAGAGAAGCCTGGGTTCTGATTCTATCCCAGCAACTCACCGTAACCCATCAAGTCTATGAGGCCATCGACTGTAGGATGGGTCATTATTTACCAATTGGAAAGGAAAAACACTCCCAATTCAATTCTTATGCAAGACTTTCTTATCACTTAGTTTATGTTTTATTCTTATTGAAAGAGGGCTTTCAGACTTAATTAGATGTATATTATTATTATTATTACATATCATTCTTGTGCAGTCAAAAAAAAGTATAAATAAACTGGTTAACGTTTTTCTAAACCATCTTCAAGTCAGAGTTCAAATTTCTTACTTTTTAACTCAGTTGTCAATGCTCATTTTTTTCTATATGATGATGTCCTGTGTGCCATCAAAATGTTAGTGACACATTACTTTTTAAATGGATTCATAAAAGAAGTAAAGCTATTTGCACTAGGTACTTAAGTATGAAGCCAGCCAACCTTCAGTCTCTCTTCGGGATTGTTGTTACACACGTCTGACTTACCACCTCACCCACTCTCCCACCCCTCACTACCACTTGGCTCTTTGGGGGTAAAAGACACTGGTATTTATTCTGTACATTTTGTTGCTGGTGCTTTAGATGTTCACATGGACACTAGTTATCACCAATGTATCACAACTGCTACTGGGAACTAGTGATCATAAGATATCATCAATTGTACAACACATCCCAATTTTGAATATGTTAAAATGTGAAAAAGAGGTGCATCTTAAAATGAGTGAAATATAGTAACTCATTGTGTGAGCTTACCTGAGTTACTTATCTTCTAAACTGCAGTTTTCTTTTCTGAAAAATTGGGTCAATAACACTACTGTATTGCGATGCAGAAAGCTTTAAATAAGACAGTGCAAGTAAAGCATAAACTTAGTACCTACTGAATAGTAGGTACACAATAAACAACTGTTGTCATTGTTATCCTTTTTATATCATGAGCATGCAAATTAGAACCCACACAGAAAACCCTAATTATGAACTAAAGATTGCAAAATTTTAAATTGCTCTCTAGAGACTCCTTTAAACTTTCAACTTCGTTATCTGATTTTGCTATTTCTTAAATTCCCTTGCCTTTCGATATTTTCCTAATAAATTTCAATTAAAAGAACATCTGCAGGTTTGTTAAAAGAGTCAAAAATGATTTTGTGCATTGAAGTATTTTCTACTGTCCTATCAACAATGACTCAATAAAAGTTGTATAACTTGATAGAAGAATGATTCTCAGAAGGGATAACCCTACATGGAAAAAACACAAAATATTTAAAATCTTGTAAGGAATAGATACATGCTGGGAAAAGTTTGAATATTTCAAGATCAGAATGTTGTCACAATATTTTAAAAATGCAAATAATAATTATATCGTTGAGTTTTTGGTAGACAGAGGCCATGCTGTAAGATGGATAAGCCAAGCCTTGAGCAATTTCTACTATGAAGAGGTATTAAGTCAGGATTTTTCAAATATTACTGCCTCAGACAAGGATAACTGCATATGATGAGAAACCTCCATCTTTTAAACATATCCCAAAGGGCTTTTAACTTGGGAGGCAGTCTTTTTTTCCCCCATTCAAAGTTATTAGGCTGACTATCGTTTAAAATAGTTGAATAAAAATTCCTAATGCTGACGTGGTTAAAATTGAACAGAGTAAATTCTACACTATTTTAAAAATAAGACATCCAATTAATTTTCAGAACATTTTAATTTCATGATTATTATTTATGTAAATTGGCTTTAATGTTCAAACACTCAAATGCCTAGTGTTTTCTCTCCTCATAGAATAGCTATATGAATATATGAAAGTTGCTTAATAAATGAAAAACAGAAAATTGAAACTATAACAAGATTAGAATATACTTATAAAATGTCCTCAGTCAGTTGGCAAAAGTCTTCTCAAAGATTCCTAATATTCCTTAACCCATGTGACAAACTGATATCCGCTACTAAAGTCAATGTGCAAATGAAGATAATGGAGACCCTGCTAACTAAGATTATTAAAATTTTACTTAAAATTTAAAATTTTTGTCTACTTTTAATAAAAGCTAAAAATGTTAGTTTCTGAACTAAACAACCTGAGGACCATTCGAATTCTACCAAGGAAAACTAACGTGAAATAATCCTTAGAAATAAAAATATCTGCCTAAAATCTCCAAGCAAAATCTGTCAAATCATTTTACTCATATTCTAAATACAAAGTAAGACCAGTATTCCGTCATACAGACACCAAGACTAGTCTGATCATTCAATAACCATCTACTAAGTACCTACTGTATGTCAGGAGCTATTACAGATTCCCTGAATACAGCAAAAAACAGGAAAAATTTTCCAGATACATTTTAATTTATATTAAAAATAGTTAATACTCACTATTATGTGGATAACTATGGGTTAGCATAAAAGATCAGACTTTTCAGTGGAGATAAATAGAGTGGAGATAAATATCATGAGGAAAAATGAATTAGGGATAGTGTGGTGACCTGGCGTGGGAAGAGATGTATTCAGAGGTGGCCCCCATAACTGACACTGAGCAAGACCTGCGTGATGTGAAGGAACTATTTGTGCAAAGGGCTGAGGGACAGTCTTCCAAACAGAGGCAACAGTGATGCGGGAATGAAGTTGGAGCATTTGAAGATGAGCAAAAGGACCAACATGGTTGTAACAGAATGAGTTGGGGGCAGAAGTGGCACGAGATGAGTCGGAAAGTTAGGCTAAGGGCTAAAAAGGTCTGGTAGGTATGATCGGATATTTCATCCTCTTCTAAGTGTGTCAAAGAGTTGTTGGTAGGTTTAACTAGAAAAGTGATATAATGTGTGTATTTATGATTTATGCATTTTAAAGATGACTTGAGCTGTGGGAGTGGGGGAAGGTGAAGCAGTCGGGTAATTGTGTAGTCAGTCCAGGGAAGAGGCAATGGAGCTTTCTTCCTATGATAATTTGAAATGTAGAGTCAGCAGGACTTGCTAATGGACACAATGCAGGGTGAAAGAAAAGGGAAAAAGAGATGTTTTATTTAATTTAGATGAACTTGTTTTACTTTCATACTAGTTCTAGTTGTTATGGAGATAAAGGCTAAAATTCAATGCTCTACAATCTCAACTGACAGTTTTCATATACAATACTAAATCTGAATTCTTACTGCTGTGTCCCTTATAAACAATGAATGCCATAATTCTGAACCCTAATTTTTCAGTGCTACAGGATGTCTCCAATTATCTTTGGTGGTAGAATAAGTTCTCAAAATTAAATTTCTTCCAGATCATGTTAATTTGGGGTTATTTTGCTGCATTTATAGCTGGAAGATGTCATAAATCAAGTAAAGAATGTTAGTGTGTGCTTCTGTAAAAATCTAAGAATTATCTCTCTAATCTTTTTCTCTACTTCCTAATCTACTTACACATGAAATTGCACCAGTAGTCATTAAAAATGACAATTATATTCTGTTTCAAACGTATTTCAGATAAGTCTTAAGTCTCAATTAAACCTAAAAATAATATTGAAAACCACAGTGAGTTTTGTGCTATAATTAAAAGACAGCATTATGGTCTATAGTTTTTGTAGAATTTATCCAACTGTGCTACAAGAAATTCCATCCAGATGTGAGATTCTATCTAGATGTGTTTAAGGAGCTCTATGAGGCCTTTACCAGCTGAGAGGTGGTCATTTTAGTCTTTCTCAATCACAAGAGTAAGTAAGAGACTTAACATTCCCAGTGTTCAGCAGGGAGTGTTCTGGGCTCCTTTATATGGCACTAAAAGCATAGATTTAACTAACATTTTAAAGAGTTATACAAGTTCTATCACAGCCACAAGTTAACTCTCCTGTCTGTGAGAAACCTAAAACTGAAATGAAAACTTCTTGACTGGGACTTTAAAAACTATTAATGGCTATGCCTTAAATAATTAGTAAGAAATTACATTCATGCCTTCAGAAGGTAAGCTTACAAAACTGACCCCTTTCCTTATAATGGACTTTCAGCCCTTAAAACTTTCTTTTTCCTCTCTTTATAAAAGCAGTATGTTTTTATAAAAGAGAAGGAAAGAGGTGTGTTTATGTCTATGGGAAATAAGGATGCATTTGCTTAAAAAAAAAAAGTAGGTTTCAAGTTTAAACATGTCTTTTTACCCTTTTATTTTCCTCACTGCTGACCGTTTCTTCCAGAACACTAAAGATGAATAATGGTTGCTCATCTTGGTAGACATAGACTGTAAGGTTGGCTCAGGGTGTTGCAACATTTGGACTCACATCTCATCCAGCCTTTTGACTGAGAGGAGGATGCTATAAAATCACTAGGTGCATTGGAAAATGGAAGCATTTCACACTCACGCTCACCCAAAGAACCCCAGTGAAACAGATCGTTTAGTGCCTTTGCTGAGGAGCAGAGCAGAACCCACTGCTGACTGTTCAAGAGAGAAGCGCCTCTTGTTTTTATTTCCTAATAAGGTATTCCAAAATGAAGGGGTTTACATGACAGCTCACAGAATTCTATAAGTCCCTTTTGAAAAAAACAAAAACAGGTGGTTTGCGTTTCTATTGACCAAAGTAGTAACATGATGTAAATGTACTAACAGTTCTAGACGATGCTGCTGCAAGGGCACACTCATGCTTGTGAACCCTGGGCCAGAAAAAGAGCAGGTTGTTCCCAGCCCCGATGAGCTTTGTGTCCAAGAAAGAAGCTGCACCAGCCCTTCCTGGTGGCCCCAGCCTCCTGCCTGCCTAACAAAGCCTGCGTGACTGGGGGCTTGGGAGAAGCTCCTTGTCCAGAATGCTGCTCTTCCCGGCCAAGAGAGGAGGCTGATCAGGGACAAGTTGGGGAGAGCTTGGATATGACACTGACTGGGGAAAACTAAGGGGGAAAAAGCCCTATTTTATTCTTTTAATACAGTTCCCAGCAGGAAGATCAGGATAGGAGGTTCTCGCCTGCTCCAGATTAAAGGAACCCGCAGTTTCCAGGTGAAGAAGGGGGGTTCCTTGTCCAGCATCCGCCGGGTCGGCAGCTTAAAGAGCAGCAAGTTATCACGGCAGGACTCAGAGTCTGAGGCTGAGGAGCTGCAGCTGTCCCAGAGCAGGGACACTGTCACTGACCTAGGTAACATAGAAGAGTGGGGTGTGCAGGGACGTGGGGGGTAGGAAGACAAGGCCCAAGTCCTGAAACAGCTGACATCCATTTTCTTACACATAACTAGATGAAGGGCAGAGCCATAGGTTAGACCCATGCAGTCTGCAAAGCACACTACCCTCTAGAGTAGGGCTGCTCAAAACTCCATGTGCACACCGGTCACCAGGGAGTCTTGTTAAAATGCAGATTCTGATTCAGCAGGTCTGGGGTGGGGATCTAAGATTCTACATTTTTAACGATCTTCCTTGTGATGCTGATGCTGCTGACTCAAGAACCACTCTTTGAGGAACAAGGATATAGAGTATACATTAGGAAAAGAAAAGGCTTTAATGACAAGAACAGTTATTGAAATCTAGATGTTTATCCATTCGTCTGATCAGGACCTTTAAAGTCAAATGTAGAATTTCCCCTGGGAACAGCTACCTAAAGTTCTTCTATATTTTTAAGTCTTTATTTAACAGTAAAAACAAGCAAAATTTCAGAGAGGAAAGACCGTCTAGACCTGACAATTAGTGATCCTCAGGAAGTCATTTAACTTCTAAGGGATTTGTTTTCTCCAACTATCCAATGGGAATAATTCTATTTACTCCTTGCCTATTCTACAAGAATTCTCTAAAGATAAATTAGGGGATGATTGTAAAATGTGTAAAACACCTGAGAATGAACTCTATATACAATGAAAATATTAGAGTTGTAGATTGTTAGTGTAGATTCCAAAGAGACTCCAAATCCTGAAATGCGTTAGTCCAAAATAGACAAGAAAAAGATTAAGTAGGCATGCACATAGACCTCGCCAGATGCCTAGTATTAACTATTAGGTAAAAGTTGAAGTGCTTTCTCTTTGCCATTCAGTGTCTTTATGAGAGGCAAAATGGAAAGTTCTTCTTTATAGCTAAGTAGTTTTAGAAGTCAGTAATGAATGTGGATAAATTATCAATTGAGTCTACTAAAATAAACTGAGTATATTTAATCAAAGAAAGATTAAAATAGGAAATGTTTCTACATCCGCCCACCCTTGCCTTTGAAAATAGCTAATTTATGCATTACTTAAGATTCGGCTTATTTTTTAAGAAGACAAAAGAGAAAAAAACCTGTTATTTCTTTTGTTACAGGTTCGAAGCTATAGCATTATCATCAGTTAGTTTTGGGGAGAAATTATTGCAATTAATTATTTGAATTAATAGATTTATCCTGACCAGTTTAGTCAAAATAGCCAGGCTAGAGACCTTGCTTTAAAGATCCATTAGATTTGAGGGCAAAGGTTTTTTGTATAGTATAGTCCGTAGTAAATTCCTGAGAAATGTCTCCTTCATATCTTCCCACAGAGAGGAGTTTGGACACAAGTGTTGTCCACAATTGAACATAATTGCTCCCAAATTCCCTTAGTTTTTCCAAAGCACCAGCCCATCTTTGAAATAGCAGAATCTGGTAGCTAGAGCAATAGCACTAGCTGCAGTCACAGCCACAGTTGAGGCAGCAGCACACTGTGAAGTCACTGCAGGTTGGTTGGTGTCCCTACTTTACACCTGCAAGGTCTGGTCAGTCTGGAATGAATGGATTTGGGCACACTCAACCAATAACTGGCTCATCTCAACAATTCAAGGACTTGACTCTGTTTTTTTCTCTGCTCCCATTTCTCAAAATGGAAGCCACCATTACAGAGAGTATAAATGTCTTTGAAATTGCCAGTTCAACTGGTGGTGAAGGGAACAGGTCCTCAACATTCTTCTAACAAAGTCAATGCTCTGCCCTGTAACCCACTGGGCCGTGGTAGTCTGCCCTAGGATTCAAAAGCATGAACAACTATACCATACCAACATGCTCTCAGTGGAAACCAAACATTGAAACTTTTCTTGGTGTTTTTCTTTTGAAGAAGGGAGTCCTTGGAGTGCAAGTGAGCCCAGCATTGAGCCAGAGGGAATGAGTAATGCCGGCACAGAGGAAAATTACCACAGGAACATGTCATGGCTTCATGTAAGTAGGAATCTCAGAAACAGCCCTAAGATAAGATCAATTTGTTTGGGCACTGGAGAAGGTCTGTGGAGGGAGGATAAAAGAGTATACTAAACCCATAAATAGAATTTAGCCTCCAAGAGAAAGCAGAGGCTTATATTTTACTTGAATCTCTCATTCTAATACTAGTGCTAGAATTTGTGTTCTGCTAGATTGTATTCATTTTATACTTAACCAAGACCAAGGGTCTTTTGTTATGGCTGGCTTGTGGGTCACCATAAGTCAGGGAAAACCATGAGAGACTAGACTGGGTAGGTGGTCAAAACAGCCTGACTGACATAGGCTAGCATCAAAACCAGTTTTATAAAGATTACCATGAGTGCTGAGAGCAAGGTCACTGTATGAGTCTTGGATCAAATTGTAAACCAGGACAAAGAGATTCTAGTGCAATGAAGGTCATACCTCAAAAGGCTATCCAGAGGGCACAGGCAGAATCCCAAGGAAACTATGGACATAGGTTAGAGGTCAATATTAAACTGGGCATGAAGAAAGGAGTAAGGAGAAAGGTAAGGAAACATAACCTCAGATGTACAATTGGCAGAGTATCCCCAGAACCATGTCGGTCATAGATATGGACTCTCACCATCCACCCTGATTTTAATCTAACTTCTTGGTAGAGTCAGATAAGGGCTAGCTGGTGCATAATGCTCTTCAGAGTGTACAGTGCTATGCTTTCGCTATGGAAGTAGTCCTCAGAATTGGCTGCTTTTCAGAATCTCTGAAGCAACTGTCTTTTAAAGTAGACATTTTAGTCAAGTCTAACCTACATATTGAAAAGCATACAAAACCTATGTGTACAGCTCAATAAATTTTTGCAAAGTAAACCACCTGTGTAATCACTACAGGGTCAAGAAAAGCATTATCAACACCTTAGAAACCCCCCGTAGTTTCTCTACCAGTCACTACCCTCCCTAACAGTAACCACCATTCTACCTTCTAACACTGTAGATTAGTTTTGTCTGTTTTTTGAAATGCATATAATTGGCATCATATACTATCTACCCTGTTGTGTCTGGTTCCTTTCGCTCATGCAAATGTAAGTTCTCCAACTTTGTTGCTCTTCAAATGCCTGGTCTATTCTTGTCTATTTCATTTGGATTTAGAATCACCTTATCAACTTCCATTAAAAAATTCTTCCAAAGCAACCTTGTTTTTAATATATAGATCAATTAAAATTGATGAATTGAAATCTTTATAAAATTGGGTCTTCCAGTGTCTCAAATGGTCTATCACTCCATTAATTTATGTCCCTCCATTTATTTAGAGTCTTTTAAATATCCTTCAATAATTCTTTTTAGTTTTCTGTGTAGTGTTCCACAAACAAAAACTCTGGAAGTGTTTGTGTAAGACCACTGCTATTTCTTCTTTAAATATTTGAAAGAAATCACTGGTGAAGGCTTCTGGGCCTAAAATTTTTTTGGAGAAGGATTTTTATTACAGATTCAATTTATGTGATACAGTTAAGACTATTCAGATTTTTTATTTCTTATGGAAGCAGGGTACATTGATATTTTTTTCCTAGGAATTTTTTCATTTAATCTGCATATTCATATTCATTATCAAAAAATTGTTTATAATATTCTCTTAAGATCCTTTTAAATTCTGTAGGATCTATGGTGATGTACCTTTATCATTTCTGATATTTGTAGGTTGTCTTCTCTTTTTTTTCAATCACTATTGCTAGGAGTTTGTCAATTTTATTACTCTTTCCAAAGAACCAGCTTTTGATTTTGACATTTTTGGAGTGTCAAATTTGTGTTTCATTATTTTCTGCTATATCTTTATTACTTCCTTCTGCTTTCTTTGAGTTTAATGAGTTTTTATTTCCTTAACTTCTTGACATGAATACTTAGATAATTAATTTGCAACCATTTTTCTCCCATACTAATTGAAAGCTATAAATGTTCTCTAGAAATAGCTTTAGTTGCATCCCACAAGTTTTGATATATTCCATTATCATTCAGTTAATATTTCAATTTCCATTGTGATTTATTCATAATTGATCACAGATATATTAAAGTCCATGGCTGATAACTCTAATAGTCCTACTTCTTAATATGCTTAGTCCTTTCTTTTACTACTAGGCATGGTGGATAAAAAATTACAGAACAATAGAGAATACATGTCATTACACATTTGTCAAAACCCATAGATAGAACATATGACATTAAGAATGAATCCAATGTAAACTATGGACATTGGGTGGTACTGATGTGTCAAAGTAGGTTCATTGATTATAATAAATGTACCACTCAGGTGTACAATGTTGATAGCAGGGGAAGCTGTATGTGTGTAGGGACAGAGTATATATGCGACTGAGCTGACTTGACTTGGAATATTTCTAATCTGCCCCCTCACAACCCTCCCCTCCCATTTTAATATAAAGCCTTTTCAGGGCTCCCAGTGAGAGTCTGAAACATGTGCTCGCATTGGTCTCACCTCAGTGAACATCCTTTTTCTCAATATCATACCCTTCATGTCCTGACTGTTTCACTTGACTATCTTACACATTCAAATATATACATTCAAAAATATATATTCAAGTATATACAAGTATTTGTGTGTATAAATGTGTATGTGTGTGTGTGTATAATTTTATTTGGTTTTCCTGGTTGTTCAAAAATAGCTATAAGTTACATCATCATGTTTGGAAGGGGAATATATTAGTTTTCTCTTGCTGTATAACAAATTACCACAAACTTAGTGGCTTAAAATAACACACATTTATTATCTTACAGTTTCTGTGGGTCAGGAATTCTGGCACAGCTTAGCTGGATCCTCTGTTTCAGGGTCTCTCACAAGGCTGCAATTAAATCACTGGCCAGGGCTGCAGTGTTATGTTATCTGAAGGCTTGACTGGGAAAGGATTTGTTTCCAAGATTGCATGGTGCTTGGCAAAATTTCAGTTCCTCAAGGACTGTTGGAATGAGAGCCTTAGTTCCTAGCTGGTAGTTTGCCAGAGGCCACCCTTATTTCCTTACCTTGTTGGTCCCCCCAACATGGCAACTTGCTTCATCAAAGCCAGCAAGGCAGAGAGTCTGCTAACACGAGAAAAGTCACAGTCTCATGCACCCTTATCACAGAAGAGCATCCCATCACCTTTGTTATATTCTGTTGGTTAGCAGGTCACTAAGCCAGCTCATACAATGGGAGGCGGTTTCACAAAGGCATAAATACCATAAGGTGTGGATCATTGAGAACCATCTTAGAAATGTGATTATCAAAGTGATACCACTGGGCAGAATTTTAAGATGACAGATTTCCAGGATACCTCTACTTCTTCTCCAGAACTAGTAAATCAGAATTTCCTGAGGCAGGGTTCAGTAATATGTTCATGTAAGTGTTTGTTTATTAGTTTTTCTGTTAAGCTTTCTTGGTATTTCTCTTGATCAGCCAGATTTGAAAATAACAAGGGAAGATTTATAGTTCTTATGTGTGCCCTGCCTCATGCCAGGATAAGGAGGAATATCAGGGATATACAGTGAATTTTTTTTCCATAGTACGTTTTTTTATTGGTTATCAATATTCATGAGATACAAAGCTGATTGTCACCACTCATGCCCAATATGTGATGGCCAGATCCATACTGGCAGCATGCCCATTACTACAAATTGCGATTATACCCCATGTCCCGCACTCAATTATGCCTGACCTCCCTCCCTATACCCCTTTCCCTCACTCCACCTCGTATCCCTAGATGTGCTCTCTCCCTCTGCAAGTCCAGCACACCTCTGTAGTCTTTCTTTCCTTCTTTTTTTCTCTCTTAGCTCCCACTTATGAGTGAGGACATGTGATATTTATCCCTCTGTGCTTTACTTATCTCACCCAACGTAAGTTCCTCCACGTTGTTGCAAATGGGAGAATTTCATTCTTTTTTATGGCAGAGTAGTATTCCATGGTGTGTATACACTATGCAGTAAATCTTGAGAGAGCTGAATATTTTGCTCAGACAACACTTACATTTATTGAAAAACTTTAAGAGTATGAAGTATTGTTAGCTGAGTTTGATAGGGGTACAGAGTTGGTTGTTTTTGTTTATCTTTTTCTGAGAATAAATGAGGCCCCTCGTTCCTAAGGAAATATGTGGCAGCCCCAGCTGGCAGATTTGATTGGCCTTGTCTATGCAGACTTGCTTTGTGTTCTCCTTTCAGTATGGCACACAGTCCTTCACAGGCTAGGTGTTGAGGTGGGAACTGGTTTCATGAAGAATGGAAGCATTCTGAAGATTACAAATACTTGACTAATCTTGTGCCTCTAGGTATTCTACTGCCTTTTTAGGAAGGCTACTTAAGTTACAGTAATGGCCAACGTATGGAATCAACCTAGGTGTCTATTGACAGATGAATGGATAAAGAAAATGTGGTAGATATACACAACGAAGTACCACTCAGCCATAAAAAAGAATGTAATCTGTCATTTGTGGCAACATGGATGAGCCTGGAAGACATTATGTTAAGTGAAATAAGTCAGGCTCATGAAGATAAATACCACATGTTCTCACTCTTACATGAGAGCTCCAAAGAAAAAAAAATGTTGAACCTATAGAAACATAGAGTAGAGTTGTGGTTACTAGAGGCTGGGAAGGGGATAGGGGAAAGAGGTGTAGGGAGAGGTTGATTAACAGATACAAAGTCACAGCTAGATAGGAAAAATAAGTTCTAGTCATGTACAGTAGTGCCAGACATCTATAATTAGCAATAATTTATTGTATATTCTCAAATGGCTAAAAGAGAGGAGTTCAAATGCTGTCATCACAAAAAAATGATAAATTTTTGTGATGATGAATATGCTGATGACCTGACCCTGATTTTTACACACATACATATATATACATATATACATACTTGTGGGCTACATTGTGTTCTTTCAATACATGCATATACTGTACATTGATTCACTTTGGGTGGATAGCATAGTTTTGTACCCATTAATCCTGATCATCCCACATTGTATACATGTGTCAAAATATAACTGTGTCCCCTGTTAACATTTATAATCAGTATGTGTCAATAAATAAAATTAAAAACTCAAGGACCTTTATTCCTTATCTTAAAATAACCATATCCTTTAAATCAACTGAGTTGTCTTTTGGAATTCTAAGGGGAATTACAGGCGATGTGAGAATTTGAGACAGATCAAGCTACCAGAGAAGAGCTAGAATGGCTAAAAGCCAGAGAAAAAAATTAGTTCGTAATGAGTAGAAAGGAGGCTCTAGAGTGGATGGAGTTCAAGTTCCAGTTGAAGGTTGTCATCCAGAGTAGAAGACGCAGAAATGTTTTCACGTTCCACATAGGTGAGCTGCAGTTGAAGGCGTCCCACAGCTGTCAGAAATCAGCCGGATCCTCTGAGACAGAGCTCCTCACCAGTTATGCTCTTCTCTCTGGCTCCTTTCACAACATAAGAGCTGAAAATAATGTGTTTTTAAGTTCAGGATGTGCACTTGAAAATATTTGGAAACCACACACTCCACAATAATTGTTTTAAGCTTTTGAAAATTTATAAACGTTTTCTTGTTTCAAAGAGAATTCTCAAGTATGAATGGAGAGAGAACAAAAGGTCAAGTGGACAAACACTTGGAGGAGCTCTTTGTTCTCTTATGGGAATTATTGAATCACTGTGTTTCCAGGACACATCAAGGAAAGCTGACATTCTGACTTTCATCTTCCACCCAACATAAATGTTCTGCTTGTCTGTATCCTGGTTGCTTCGTTGAGTCTCTGGATGTCTGTATTTCAGGTCATGATCTTGCTGTGCAATCAGCAAAGCTTCATCTGCCCTCATGTTGACTACTGCCACCCGCACTGCTACCTGCACCACAGCCGCTCCTGCGCACGGCTGGTCAGGGCCATCAAGCTGCTCTACGGAGACAGCGTGGACTCCCTGCGGGAGAGCAACAGTGTAAGCAGCGTGGCTCTCCGGGGCAAGAAACAGAAAGAGGTGAGTGAACGATCACTGGATAATGTCCCAAAGATAGACAAAATGAGGTCCTTACAATCTTTTCTCTGGAAATAAAACTTTCCTGGCAGCTGCAGTTATGGAAACCAGGCTACAGGTCTGTGTGGTTCTGAGCAAAGGCAGAAGATGAGCCAAGAAAGACAAATGCTTTGTCTTCACATCCATGAGTAAACGTGGAATCTTTTCCCAGGTTTTGTCTTATTTTTAGGGATAAATATGAACACACAGGGATGGTGGTGATGAGTAAATTGTTGTGGTAGGCAGAATAATGCCTTTCCTACAAAGTTGTTTACAATCTAATCCCTGGAACCTGTGAACATATGTACTTCACATGGCAAAAGAGACTTTGCAAATGTGATCAAGGATTTTACAATGGGATGAGTGTCGTGGATTATGCAGGTGGGCTGAATGTAATTATATGAGTAAAGGTCTTCACAGGTAGAACACGGAGTTATGAGAGTCATAGGCAGAGTAGGAGATGTGATAACAGAAGCAGAGGTCTGAGTGATGCTGGGCCACGAGCCAAGGGATGCTGGCAGGTTCTGGAAGCTGGAAAGGACAAAGAAATGGGTTCTCCCCTGGATCCTCCAGAAGGAGTACAGCCCTGCCAATCCACTTTAGACTTCTGACCTCCAGAAGTGTAAGATAATAAATTTGTGCTGTTTTAAGTTACCACGAAATTTGTGGTAACTTGTTCAGCAGAAACTAATGCAGTTATCTGTTAAGAAATAAGCGATAAATGATTCAACTGCCCACAGACAAATAACAGAGTAATTTAGGTCAAATCAGACTAAGAAAAAAACCCATCAAAAAACTGTTAAATTTTCCAGGCATTCAGCTGCACTTTTCTGACAGCTACTCTGAGCAGCTGAGCTGGCAGAAGATGAAGACAGTCACCAGGGCTGCTGTGTTATTGCCAGGGAAGCCCTGACTTACCCACCTGCCCCTGAACATGTGTGACAGCCAAGATGCCCAACTGAATGCTGTGGGCTGCTCCTGCAGCTGCTTTTGCCAAGTGGTTTTGCAAAGAGATTTTTATATAACACCCATTCATTTCAACAAGCATTTATTATGCACCTGCTGTTGGCACAATATTAGGCCAGATAGTCTATAAAAATAAGAAGGAGTAGAGGATCTTTTTACTAAGGAGTTTGCCAGCCAGGTTTGGTCTGGGGAGGAGGCGATAATATACACATTAAACAACTAGAGAATATGAGCAATAAAAACAAAACTGCACAGTTGAGCTGTGTAGCAATTTGTAATGCATTAGTACTCACAGAGCCATTTTTAAATTATAACTTTTTTTATTGGGAAAGCAAGATATGTTCATTATAGAAATTTTGGATAATACAAGAGAACTAAAGAACAAAAGTATGTATCTCATAATGTGCTAGTCCACCTTCTGGTGTATGATCTTTTAGTATTTTTTCTAAACATATGTGTGAGGGTATAAGGTAGGTTCATATCATTGACAAAGTGCTTTTTGATTCTTACAAACCTTGTGCAAGAAATTTTTTCTCCCTATTTTACAGGTGTAAAAATTGAGGCTTAGAAAGATGGGGCTGTCCACAGTTCACATCTAGAACATATACAGCTAAATTTTAACCTAGAAATATGGAATATCAGAGTCAGGGCTTTTTAAACTAGACTCATACACCTCATGTTATTCGAACAGTACAAATTCTGAAGGAAATGATGGTGGGAGGTGGATCAATGTGGATTACAAATAAACTGCTCGAACTGCTAATTGATGACATAGAAAAAAATATATGCATATGTATTTGTGTGTATGCATGTGTATGTATATATACATATCATATATGTATATATTTCAAACACAAATGACACTACATTAAAAGAAAACCTATTTTCATTTATGTAAGTTTTCTCTTTATTTAAAAACTTCCTTAGCTTTATCAGAAAACTGTATGTTGGAAGTTGCGAAAATACATGAACCTAAGTTAAGGTTGTTCAAACTGTACTTTCATCTCTAATCTATACATGACCGAACCCAACATCCTTTAAGATCCAGCTCAAATGCTATCTCCTCCCTGAACCCTTTTCTGATCCCCCTAGTGTTAAGCACAGGGTATACTGCAGGTGGATGACAAATGTTATTTTCCTTCCTGCCTTCTTCATCTAAATTTTAACGGCATTTTACTTGGACTTTTTAAAAATCCTTCAATTAATTATTTATTTATTCATTTATTCATTCATCTATTCAATAATTTTTTTAAAAACCTATGAACCACACTGAGCCCATACTTTGTGCTGGCTATGACAGTGGGCAAAAGAGATGTGGTCCCTGCTCTCATATGGTGCACACAGTCTAGTCCAAGAGACTAATTGTCAAATAAACGTCTCAAATTGATAGAAAATTGCAACAGCAATAAGTGCAATGTAGGAGAATCACACTGTGCTGAGAGAGCTTATGAACAAGGCTTTGAACTTGTCAAGGGAAATAAAAGACAGCCTTTCCAATAAGGTGTCAAGTGATCTTTGACTGAAGGATGCAGAGACGTGAATTGTAAACAGAACTTTCCAACCTGAAAGAAGAGGTTAGCACATCATGGCTAGAGCATAGGGGACTGGGTGCATGTGGAGACTACACAGGTAGATGGACAGCTGACCATGCCATGGGAAGGCTTTTATTCTATCCTGTGAGTAGTGGCAAAGATCCTCTTCTGCTTAATCATAAACTTTTTGAGAACTGAGGAAGTCTTACGCATTTTGTGTGCTGGATGGTACCCTAACAAAGCACACATTTAGAGCAGAGGGACTGTAAATATTGAATGAGTGAGCAGAACTGTAGTTCTAGGGTGTTTCATGAGTGATCCCCACCTCTGGCTCATGAAGGGCACCTGCCTGAAGCAGCAGAAAGAGCTTACTGACCTTCTCCTGTTGCTTACGTTTCTGAAAGGGAAAAGGAAAGGACAGCAAGAGTAGGTGTCTTACCAACTCAGCACACTTAGTCATTCAGGTGGAGGCTGAAAAAACGTGTTGAACCTTCTATGATAAACATTTCATTTCCAAAATGCTGGCCTCCTTCTCAAGCTCTTTTTTTTCCTCTCATGATGTTTTCCACTTGTCTGTTCTGAATCTGTCACATAAACGAACAATGCCCATATTTCCAGGGCCAAAGTGAAAATAGAGTAGGCAATAAATCCAGAGTAAAAGCAGTGTTCTGATTAGAATTGAATCTTATGAGCAATTGGTATTTCATTCTTGCTTCCTTTTAAATTAGTTTCTATGGCAGAATATATTTGTGGCACTTAGTACATTTTGTAACTCATCTAACTCTGATCAATCTGCTAATCTGCATGTCAATGCTCAGACACTCACTGTACATTCTGTTAGTCTATTTTAGTGCACCTCCAAACTTGAGGGTTTTTAAAATAAGCTATCATTCTATATGTATCTATCAACTTCACCAAAGAATTCTGCTATTGTTCCTCTATGTCTGTAATTTGTCCAATTCTATGTCATAAATAAATGTTCAATTAGTGGTTGTTGATAAAACAAAAGGAGTAGATAAAACAACTTTTCCTTTTAGCTAAAAAGGAGAGGAGAGGTAAAGGGTGAAACATACCCCCCCCCAAAAGAGAGGGCGCAGTGTGGGCAAATTTTGTGAAGCCAATGCAAGTAGCAAGAGGTCAGCTGATTTCCTGCAAAACTAATATTTTTTTCTAAAGCTATAGACAACAGTCTCAAGATCTGGGTTTTGATTTCATGGGCCAGAGTGCTTTCCCACTGTATCATATGTAATTCATGTGTCAAAGATGTATGAGGTGGGGCTGGCTGGTTAGCTCAGTGGGTTGGAGTGCAGCCTTACAGCACTGAAGTCATGGGTTCAGATCTCCGCACCAGCCAGCTGCCAAAAAAAAAAAAAAAGATAAAAAAGATGTATGAGGCACAAAGGGTCTTTCTTAGGTTACCTTTTGAGGAATATTGCATTTCTAATGGTATGATGTTCTTTCCAGAAACATGAGAAAACCCCCTTCTCAGAAAGCCTGTTGGCTGACTTCAACTTTTCCAAATTTATGTCTCTCCTCTACTTGGACTTTTCATTTGTTTGCTTGTTTGCTATCTGCCTCTCCTAGAAAGATATGCTGTCCAGGAGGACAAGTTTCAGGTCCTCAGCGTATCTGCAGAAGTTAGCCCAGTTCCTGACAAATGGTTAACTCAATAACTATTCTTAAAGTATTGGATAAATAAATAAAATTGTATTTAAAATAATTAAGGATTATTCCTCTCTAGTCAATTACCTATTGTTGCAAGGAACAAAAACTCATTCAATCTTGTTCAACGATTACAGAGTTTCTTCAAAGGGTATGTAGCAGGATCTCATGAAATCAGGGACAGAAAGGGATAGCCAAGACTCAAGGGAATGAGAACTGAAGCTGCTGTTCATCTCAGGATGGACAAGTCTCTCATCTCTGCTTCCTTCTGCATCATCTTCTGCTCACTCATCTCTGTCCCCTGGACAGCTCCTCTTGCTTCATTCATCTTGTGCTTACACTGAAAATCCCAAGGCTGCATCATTATTTCTCAGCTCCAGCAACCATCAATAAATGATTTGGACTTTGTGTCCCTGAATTCCCTAGGACAGGAATTTGATGGGGCCAACTCCTCTTTTTGAGACAAACACCACAAGTGATAAATCCTTAGCCAGTCTAAGAATTGGTTTGGCATTGCAAGTCTAATCAGTAGTGGTTAAGTAAGGAGAGAAGTCACAGAGTCAACTATGATGGATTTTTCTAAGACCACATACAAAGAAGAAAATGACAGTAGTCCAAGTTCTATGCCATCCCATAATGAGCATTCTCCAGTATCCCTGACAGATCTTGGGGCTGTATAGCTGCTTCCATTGACCACAGCATCCTCTGGTAGAAGTGCCTCAACAATGGATGACGTCCTCTATTAGGGATAAATTCTAACTTTTGGTATTGGCTTGCTAGTCTTGAGTTTCTCTACAGGACCCTACTTGACGTGTGATTGCAACCACCATGTGCATCTCATAGTTTAGTAAAACCTTTGACTCTTCAAAGAACCACTAATGGAACTAGCCTCCTACTCCATCCAGTTTCTAAATCTCTTCTAGCCAAATGTTATATCAAGCCACCAAAGCAAAACGCAACTAATCAAAGCTTTATCTGTCTGATTTAGGGGTCAGACTAGTAGAAGGACTGTAGGACCTTCACACAGTATACACAATGTCCAGCACAAATGTACCCATCTCTGATATTTATCTTCCAAGTCTGATCTAGTCATTCAAAAAGCCTGTTTCTCTGCTATGAAAGCCCTTCCAATTCCTTCCCCTTTCCACTAAAACAAGCACCCTAATTATCATGAGGTCGCTGGAATGCACCATGCTTCCTAAGGAAACATGCAGGATATTAAATATTTGATATCTGATGAACTTGACTTATACCTTCTGTTCCCAGTAGGCAGAACTAAACACAACCCTACATTTCCCAGAATATCAAAGACTAACATAAATGTTCATCTTTTTTTTTTCCTAAGCTGTATCTGCCTGGTTAAAATTCCTATAATTTAGCCAGGAAGTATTATTCAAATGTATCACTGAAAAAGACAAAACATCCAGCCAAAAGAGAAAGGGGTAAGGTATTTACAAAATTCAAAAATTATATTTTGAAATAATCATAATGACCTGGGTAAATACTCATTGTAAAATCATAGTGAAATGAGTTTTAAATCGTATACTACATAAATAGCATTATCACAATTGTGCTAAAAAGCATAAGGAAAAAAAAGGCTGAAAGGAACCAAATAATGGTTATCATTGGGTTAGGGATTATTAGGATTTTTGTTTTCTTCTTTATAGTTATTCTGTCTTTTTCAGATATTCTGCAATGTGCATGTGTTATTTAATAAATAGAAAGAACAAAAGCAGAGAGCTGCCAATTTTCAAACATCTTGACTCATTTTAAAATAGATACAACCCTACCTTTATAAGGAAAACTGTTGCTACATGTAATCTTAGAACAGTTGTCAAATTATATAAAGTAGGTATGCTATTTATTTCTTTTACATTCACAGAAAAAAAAAAGCAATACAATATTTCTCTTCCCAAATGATATGTATTCCCAAGTATGTGCCTCCACGGTTTTTTTGCTTTTAGAAAACACAGCAAGAGTTCTGATTCACTTGTTTCCAAGTAGGTTCATTTAAAAAGTTAGTTCCACACCAGTCACATAACAGATGCATTGTCTTGGGTCTTTTTGTCAGAGTTTCAAAAGACTTTCTTGGAACATGCATGTACTTTTAGATTTGCCTTTTCTTTCAAAATATTTTCACTGATAACACTGTGAAGCTCTGTTTAAAAACTCTTAAGGAGTTCAGTTTTTTCACTTGGCATAGAGAGAGAAAGTGTTTCATTGACATGACACTGGAAAAACAAATGAACATTTATTCTGTGCAAGGAGGATTCCCTATTTGTACAGCCTGGAGTGCAAAAATAGGAGGAATCAGGATTTGAGATAAATAAACAAAGCCCTGTCCTCATTAGGATAGATTCTTCTCCCAGCTGCTCTGCTCACTCCATTCCTTGGCATTTAGGGAGTCAGAAGAAAAAATGGTCTCATCTGTGTTTATGCAGATGAGTCAGGCCTATTCTGGACCCTGGATGAGGGGACAATTTGAAAGAACAGCTGCTGGCTCCTGCAGACAAGTATGTTTTTTAAAGAAACTATTTTACCTGCACAGCTGAGACATGGATGATTGACGACCCCTGTCCTTTGTCCTTTTATTTCCTAACACTTCTTTATGAAATAGTTTCTTTCTTCCAAATGGTGCAACTTGTAGCATCCAACCCTATAGAGGAACTATTGGATAGAGTGAATTTCATCTGATAATATTTTAAAGGATTTATTTTTTAACAGCTTGATGGAATATAATTAGTCCTGAAACAAAAGTCAGGAGATCCTTGTTTTTTCCTTATTCTACTAATAACTAGCTTTGCAACTTGGTCAAGTTATTCCACCTCTCTGGACCCCAGTTTCCTTGAAGGTAAAAGAAGAGTTTCTTACTAAGTTTCTTTAAGCTCCCTTTTTATTACAAAATTAATTGCTTTTATAAATTGCAGGAACTATAGGCCTACAAAACGGCTTTAAATCATCCCCTCCATCAGAAGATAATTTAGAGAATTTGGGGGAAACACAGCACTGTTGGTTTTTGAGAAAACGCAACAGACTTTGTCGCATATCTCATGTTCTTTTTTTCAGTGCTCAGATAAGTCATGTCTGAGGACACCTTCTCTGAAGAAGAGAGTTTCAGATGCCAACCTGGAAGGGAAAAAGGATTCTGGAATGCTGAAGTACATCAGACTTCAGGTATTGGAACCTGGATCTGAAACCCTCATAGAGCATTAACAGGGAAGGGGCTCCTTACAGCCTGGTTACTAGTGTTGGGGGCATATAATATCAGTTGGCGCAGTGTTGGCACACAGGCCCCTCTAATTGGTTAGCAAGAGTGCAATCAAGTGTGCAAGGGAAAAAAATACCTTCTTGCTAGACAGCAGCTTCCACGAACAAGGCTTGGCAACCCCAGTCTCTCCACTGCAATGGAGCTAATTTCCCACCAGTTGGTGATGGTGATGCTCATAGGTTTTGGAATGAGACCGTCTGGGTTCATATCCCATGTCTGCTGCTTTGACCCTAGGACCTTGGGCAAGTTATTTAATCTCTCTTGGTCTTAATTTCCTCATCTGTAAAATGTGGATAGTAACACAAGACTTATTCCAAAGGATTATTAAGCGAATTAAATAAGATAGTACATTTACCTGCCTATGCAGTGCTTGATACATTGTTATATTTCTATTATAACTTAAGCTCTGAATTATAATAACTTTCCCCAGAAAAATATTTTCATGAATGTGTTTAAAATGATGACTTGTCCAGAACCTACACTTACCACTTAAATTATCTGAAATAATGCATTAAATAGGATTTTGTGGGCTAATCTGTGTAATAACCACAATGAATAATGTTGTTTCAAAAGGAAATGCCATCCAAGTTCACATTGTCTTAGAAAACTGACTTTCTAAATGGACTCTTTTATAAATTAGAGATTGTATATAGTTTTCAGTGAAAACCTACTAATAGGATGCTTTAAAAGTCCATCAAGACTTTTAATGAAAAGTTATATTTGCTGGGGCCTTTCTTTTCTCATAGAGTTGTAGTTTATTCTGGGTGGCTGCAAAACAGTTTTTATGGTGAAAGCATTATAAAATTAATACAATTTATTCTGACTATTCTTCAACAAATAAGGTATAAAGCTTATTATACACCATGCCAACTAAAATGGTCTCCCATGTTAGAAAGCATTTTAAGGTCACTGAAGGAAAGCAGAGAAAGGAAAAGTGTCTCTTTAGTTTCATAAGGAAAATGATAACAGTATCTTAGAAGATTTGAAAACATCATTTCCATCTTTTCCAGGTGATGAGCTTGTCGCCTGCTCCCTTATCTCTGTTAATCAAGGCAGCTCCGATTCTGACAGAGGAGATGTATGGAGACATCCAGCCAGCTGCCTGGGAGCTCCTGCTCAGCATGGACGAGCACATGGCAGGGGCAGCAGGTAAGGAAAGACTGCCTGGGAACCCGCTCCTGCTGCTACTGCCATTACTGAGCCAAGTGTTTAAGTAAGACAGAGGTGTGTTCATTCCACTTTTGCTCCTAGGTCAGGTTGATGGCAATTGCTGGAACTCTAGACAGAGCTGTGCACTATAGGAAAACAGACCCAGGTTCTGTGTGTTCTCTTCCAATTCTAATGTAGATGGCATAAGAGCAGTATATCTCTGTCAGCGTATTACCCAATTATAGGGAATGGTTTCCCCAGAATCTACATTTTCACTATATTTCACAAAAGATAAAATTCTTTTTTGTTTTATTTCCTAGATTTACCATGAACCACCATTATTAACTTTATTAAATCTTGTATGAGTAATGTTCTGTGTCCAAATTACAATATCAAAACAAATTTGTTGAAATTTAAGTGACTTGTCCAAGGCCACATAGCTGGTCAGTGGTAGATGCAAAATGTGTATTCTTCATTTTTTTTCTACTTTTTGCACAGATTTCTTTATTTTTCTATAGTTATTCTAATTGCAAAATGCACATGGGGAAAAATTCAAATAGTACAAAGGTGTCTGGAGTCAAAAGCATCACTCTCTTTCCCATATCCCATTCCCTTCCCCAGAGATAACAATTTTTAAGTTTCTTAGGAATCCTTCTAGGGAACCCTATGAATATAAATATATGTAAGTATGTATGTATTGCATGTTTCCTTTGCCACACAAATGGGACATGCTATAAAGGCTTTTGCGCTTTGCGTTTTTTCATTTATACCTGAGATACCATTTTTTAACATAAGTTTATAGTTTTGCCCCTTGCTTTTTAATGACAAATATTCCATTGAATGAATGGACATACCACAATTTATTTAACTAGAACCTCTTAATGGAAATTTAGGTTGATTCCAGACTTTTTCTCTTTTATAACATACTGCAACAAGTATTTTTGTAATATATCTTTCTTTGTGTTGAAGCTCAGGTTTTTGCTTCTGAGAGACAGCTGCAGAAGTTTAGGGCAAGGTCATGTTTCCCAAATATGGGACAGTCATAGAAACGTCCATGGAAAATATAAACAGGTGGACTGGGCTTTAAGAACAGCTAGAAGTGAGCCAAGCTGAGGAAACAGTGTGCACAAAACTGCATGAGTGTGGAAATGCACAGGGCTTATTTGGAAAACCTGAGAAGACTGATTTGATGACTGGGATGGCTTCCATAGAGAGGTCAGCAGTCCATAATATTAGAGAGGTGAGTGGTACTCAGATTGCAACATACCTTTAATGACAAGCTTAGGAGTGTGGACTTTCCCCTCAGCTGTGGGAAACCACTCATGGGTCCTGCACAGAAGGGTAATGTTGCATACAAAATATAAGTTATTACCAAGTTTAACATGACAGCAATAGTTGAATAATTTGGTTTTAGAAACAGTGGCTTTCAGATGAAGGGGAGCCGGTGATATATAGTTAGCAACATGACACTGAAGCTAATGAGAAAGGCCAAAGTTACAGGTAAACCTGTGGAACAAGTTGATATATGTGGCAGCTGGAGCAATGAGAGTGGATGGAATCTCTTTGGGAGAATCAGTAGAGAAAAAGGGAGTGGATGGATGACACTAAGGTCTTCTCTACCTTCCAAGGACAAGAGGAAGAAGCCCTGCCAGCAAAAGACCCAGAAAATGTGATCATAAAAGTAAAAGAACTCAAATAATCTCAAGCCATGGAAGCAAAAGAGAATAGCTCTTTAAGGAGATTGTTATGGTGTTAAAAAAAAAAAAGTGCTGTAAAAATGCCATTGAATCTGCTAATTAATGACTATTACAAGAAAACTGTTTCATAAGGAGGTTCAGGTGGAGCTCTGCAATAATTTAAAGATTGAATGTGGTGTTTAAAAATTGAGACAGGGTAGAGGACATTTTAAAGAAATATAAAGGAGAAAGAGTGGAGATTTAAGCAGCTGGTAAGCTAATGATCACAACAACCAACATTTGTTATAGAACTATATCACACACATAATCTTGTCGATAAACCATTTTATAGATGAGTGAGCCAGAGAGTGTTGAAAGGCCTTATCCAAGTTCACACAGCTCAGAATTAGAGAGTCAGGAGCCCAAACCCAGATCTTCAGACTGCGCATGCCAATGTCCTTCCCATTATATCACACTGCCTCTAAAAATAAAATGCACTTTAGGAGTGTGTAGCACTTTTTAATTCACAAACTATTTTCTCATATATTATTTTATTTTATTCTAATAACAAATTTGGAGGCAGGTATTGTCATCATTGTCATTATTATTACTGACAGTTTACCAGTGAAGAAATGGAGACTAGGAGAAATTAAGTGGTTTGCCCAAGATGACATAGCAGAGAAATATCAGGGCTTGGACTCGACCCGCATTCTTCTAGTACAACTGCCTGAGCATGTTTTGAGGCTCTGCAGAAGAGTACAACAGAGATATTAGATTTTTTTTTTAAGTTTGCCTTTGGCTCTTCTCTCTATGCTATAGAGTGTATCTGTCTCATATGCATTAGCCTTATAACTTATCATGGCACTAGACCTTTCCCTTACAGATATTTGTCTTTTCCAAAACCACACACACACACACACACACACACACACACACACACACACACACACACACACACAGAAACACAGCAGTGTTATGATTTGATTCACAAAATCTCCTTTGGCTTCTCCATCTCTTCTATTTCTGGGAAAGGTAGAAGTTTCTAACAGAGTCCACAATGTGAATTTTGTTTTTAATGTAGCTAATGTAACTTAGGTACATCCTTATGTACCGTCCTTGGGTTACTATGAGATGACTCCAGCCATTTCCTAAAAAGCATATTTCAATATGTGATTTTCTTTTTTCATTTGCTTCTTCTGGCATTCAGTTTTCACCGTAAGCCAAAGGAAGTTTTGCTTGGAATGAGTTATTCTACTGAAATAACACGCTGTTGCTGCCTTTGCACCAGCTATTAGAAGACTGTGGTTGGCAATGGATTCCAGTGGCTGGAACAAATTTTGCTTTTGCCAGTGCTGGTAGCCTGGCTCCATTAGCACCTGGAGTCATTTTCAGGACATAGGGGCATTTCCCACCTCTCCCTTGCCTCCCAGCAATCATACAAAATTTTTAAATATGTAGCTGATGAATTGTTGACTTTCTCTAGCTGCCATGTTCCTGCTGTGTGCCGTGAAGGTCCCTGAGGCTGTGTCTGACATGCTCATGTCAGAGTTCCACCACCCAGAGACTGTGCAGAGGCTGAATGCTGTCCTCAAGTTCCATACGCTCTGGAGGTTTCGCTATCAGGTCTGGCCCCGGATGGAAGAGGGAGCGCAGCAGATTTTCAAGGTGAGGGAAACATCCCACATGGGAACTAGACTAGCAAACCCAGCCCAAGGCTGGTCTAAATCTCTGAACCTCAAAGCCACAGTATATGGCCAAAGAGATGCTTCTTTTTTTACTCTCTTTCTTATTATATAAGTAAACCTAACTTATACATGAATGAATTATTGTTGTTAAAAAATTAAAATAAGAATGTAGAGTGACAAAAAAAATTAAGTTTCTGTAAACCTTAAAATTTCACTAACATACGCAGAAGTAAGCACATACAAATCTGGTGTATAATATTCCAGACATTTTGCTATATCACATATACTTGTAGATTTTTTTGTGGATGATGGGGCAATTAACACAAATAGAGATCATTTAGTCGAAAGCCTTTATTTTACTGATTAGTAAACTGAGGCCCATAGAGATTCATCCTGTAACAGAAAATCTCAGAAAGCAGCCCTTTTCTATGATGCTTGCTCACTGTGCAAGGAGTCAGTACACTTGTGCTTGTGTCATATTATACTTCAGACTCATTCTAGCTCTGTTCCATCTTACTCACTTCATTCTTTTTGTATCGACTAACAGATCCCACCTCCCAGTATAAACTTCACCCTGCCCTCACCAGTGCTTGGAATGCCATCCGTTCCAATGTTTGACCCTCCGTGGGTCCCTCAGTGCAGCGGGAGTGTCCAGGACCCCATTAATGAAGACCAGTCTGTGAGTAAGGGGCGCCTTTGTTCCCATATCTCCAGGGCCTATGGTGTGCATGTAAGAGAGAATAATGAATTTGTGAGACAATTTGTTCATTCTTGTCATAAGAAAATCACCCACAAAAGGTCTTTGTTCTGTGAATAGAATAGAAGGAACTAATATCTGGCAGAGAGCATTTGCAGACTTTCAAGCCAGCAGTTTTGTTTTATAATCAAAGCAGCAGCCACCTTATAAAGCTATTAAAAGCATTAGGAGGGGCCGGCCCAGTGGCGCACTGCTACAGTGCGCCGCTTGGGAGCGCGGTGGCGCTCCCACCAAGGGTTCGGATCCCACATACAGACCGGTTCCCGCTCACTGGCTGAGCGAGGTGCGGGCGCAACACCGAGGGTTGCGATCCGTTGCTGGACATGAAAAAAAAAAAAAAAAGCATTAGGAGTCGATTTCTTGGTCTTAAGTAGTATGTTTGCCTCTATTTATTACACAACAAATATATTCATTTAACCTATAATACGAGTATGTATGCTACCCGAAAAGTAAAATATATTGACACTGAGAAAATAAGGAAAAGAGAGTTGGCAGATCTTATTTTCTTGTTTGAATCTTAGTTTGTTTTTCATTTTGTGGCTTATCAGTATCATCAGAACAGACATCACTCTGAGATCTCAGCTTTTCCAACTGCTGTCAGTAATATCTCATAAACAGTCAGGTTTAGAACATAGTCCGTGTAAGAGACAAAAAATCAAGAATATGCACCTTTTGAAAAAACAGATCTTCAAAATATGCCTTTTTCACCTGTTGAATATCATTTCTCTAAATTACAAGAGTAATGTAGAAAATTTGGGGAGAAAAACAATATATCTCTTTGTACAAATCCATCATTATTTCTTTGCATAAATTCCTATGGAATTTATGGCATTTGGTATATAACTATTAAAGATTTTTGATGCAAAATATCTCCAGAAAGGTTATATCATCTGACACTTACTCAGTAGAATGAGAAAATGTCTTTCCTATTCAAATTAAATAGTGTTCTTTTTTAATTGCCACTTTGAATAGCCCCCAAAGAGTTACTGTTTATCTATTTACACTTCTTTGAAAAAGTTATTGGAATACATGAAGTTAGGTTGAACATTTTTTGCGTATCACACATAGATTTTCTAGGCATTTGTAGTTTCTTTGGAGAACTGTTAGTTTGAACTCTTTATCCATCACAATATGCCTATCTTATTTTAATTCTTCCACATACAGTACCTTCATATCTGATGGGTCTTTGCCAAAGAGAAAGACATACCTGGTTGTTCTCCCATATTTGCGGTAATTCCAGCATCTGAACCAGCTACATAAGGATCTTCGATTTTTCTCCCATGGAGGAGATGGGTTCACTTTAGCCAACCACACTTTCTATCCCAAGTTTACAGTGGATTTGAAACCAAGTTGCTGATTCTACATGCAGTTCTCTTACTCATTCCACAATTCTTACCTTGTGTCTAATTATAACAAAGGAGCTTAACCACCTGTCTGAGAGTGAATTGCCATGTGGACTAACAAATGCTCTTAATTGCTGTTATGCCATTCATCATAGGAAACCTTTAGTCTTAAGATCCTGCATAAAGGGATCTTACTATCCTACAATGAAGGCAACCATTTAGAAGAGTGACTAACTCCCTCTACCTGTCTCTAGAACTCTATATGACTATAGACCAACAATGAGATGTGGAATTGCTGTTGTACCTAGATATTACTTCAAGTTGGTAGGGAAGAACTCCAGTGATCACTGCCCTGCTCTGAGACCACAGATTGTGTCCCCAAAGCTCTTCAAACTCATCTGGGCATAAGCAGCATGATTAAGGCATGAATAGAATAGACATTTTGCAGAGTGAATCTTTGTTCCTTATCCTTCACCTGTGGAAGTGTGAGTTGTTCTTAATATTTTTCCATTTTGCTTTGGCTGCTAGTAAACACAGAGTCAAGTTTATGTTCAACCTTAGTAACACTATCAACTCTCATCATTTTCACTTAGTAGCTTTGTTTCTACAAATATTGTTAGGTATTTATGGTGTGCCACTGTATTTATCTACACAGATTGAGTATTTACACTGTGGTTGACAGTTGAGCTATAAAAATAAAACACTTAACTAAGTGGTTTATATGAAAGATATCTCTTTCCTCCTCCTTTCCATGGTTCTGACTTTCTATTTTATTAACCGTATGAAGTAAATTTAAAAATAAGTTTAAAATTTTTAAATAAACTTAAAATGTGTTCAAAAATTTCAGAAAGAAATAAATTTTGGAAACTACTAAAAAAATTTATTTGTTCTTAATGTTTAAAGAGTGAATCATTGATAAAACCACCCAAGTTCTAAAGGTGAAATTGGATCCTTTCCAGAACTTACAAGTATACTTGAAAGAATTATTCTGATAACAGTACACAGCCTAGAAATTTGGTAGAAAAATAAACAAATCTTCATGAAACCAGATCGTAAATACCCTAACATTTTCTGAGAACAAACTACCATGTTCGTGTAATTCACTGGACACCCTTTATGCCTGTGGCCTTGCAGAAAAATTGCCATTAAATAAATTTGACTTCATGTCTCCACAGAAATCCTTTTCAGCCCGGGCTGTGTCCCGCTCCCATCAAAGGGCAGAACACATCTTAAAGAATTTGCAGCAGGAGGAAGAGAAGAAACGTCTTGGTCGAGAAGCCAGCCTCATCACTGCTATCCCCATCACCCAGGAAGCTTGCTATGAGCCCACCTGCACGCCCAGCTCAGAGCCAGAAGAGGAAGGTGCCCTCTACACATGGGACTTCTTGGGGGGCTGGGTCACAGGGAAAGTACTTGCTTTGAACTAAAGTCGATGATATTATGTGACATGAGGTAGTTGCTCCCTTCCATCTCTCACTTCCTGACACTGTCCAAAGAAATAGAAAAGTTGTTGTTTTCTAGAGTTTAGAGTTGGCCTGTTTCCAGAGGAGGACATTAAGCCACAGCCACATTGAATGAACCAATTTGATAATGGACCAAGCAGTAGTTCTGATTCAGGGAACGCTGACTCCAGAATGTGTGTTAAAGTAAATACAACCACTCTTTGATCATTAAAAATGGGGTTAGTTCATTAACTCCTTTCAACCTTCACAAGCTCAGATAGTTGGTTACCTGGTATCAGAAAATGATTTACGAACCGTTCTAAATTCAATGACTTTCTGTCCTGCTTTTGTGAAAACTGAGAGAAATTTTCTGTCTTTCTTCCTGTAGAGTTTTTTTCCTCCTTTCCTAAGTACACTCTAATTACTTAAGCCTTATGGTCTGAGAGCAATAGACACTTGTGATGTAAGTACAGCTGTAGTTGTGATGAAGGTAACTTTTTTGTTACAAAACCGAAGTTCACATTCCCCATTATGTTTGTCAGTAGAAGAAGTCACCAATCTGGCGTCTCGTCGGCTGTCTGTAAGTCCATCCTGTACCTCCAGCACTTCCCACAGGAATTACTCCTTCCGCCGCGGGTCGGTCTGGTCAGTGCGTTCAGCTGTCAGTGCCGAAGGTGTGTCCTCTTGTTAATATGTTCTTTATTTTTCATGACTTTTGTGTTTTGAAACATTTTCCAGTTAATATCGTTATCTCACTTCCTTACACTATCTTCATTAAATAGCTTGTTTCACAAATTGAAGTTCTAAAAACAAAAATTAGATTGAGTGGCATCCTAAAAAAAACTATTGTTGATTTAACCCAGCAATTGTCATTATTGAGTTGGCTCTATTTTAATTACATTACATGTGACCATATTGCAGAAGACATTTTTCTAGGCAGTTAATATTGTTCTGCTTTAAAAAAAAATATCCAGGCCACACTCAGGACCAAATCAAAATCTTTGAGAGTGAGACCCATGCATCAGTATTTTGAAAACCTCCTTGGGTGATTCCAGTGTGTGACTATAGGATGCTTTAGGATGTTTTTCTGGGATAATTTAATAATCAAAGGAAAACTAAAGCTATTCCTGTAATAAAGTCCGACTCTTGGTGTGGGGTAGTGGGGGACAGAATATGATGCCTTTTAATTCCAAGAACTTAAAATATGCTTGTCTGATGATGAACAGTTGAATGGGATGCAATACTTCATAATTATACAAATTTCATCACTGATTTATAAAGTCACTAGAAAGATATACAAAAATGGAGCAAATAGGCCAGTGGTTCTCAACTCTTGGCTGCACAACCCTGGGGAACTTGAAAAAATGACTGATGCTAATTAATCACAATTTATGGGGATGGGACCCAAGTCACATGTATATTCTTATAACACCTTTATTAAGATATAATTCACATACCATAAGATTCATCCCTTTGAAGTATACAATGCGGTGGTTTTTAGCATATTCGTAGAGTGTGCAACCATCATCACTATCTAATTTTAGAATATTTTCATCATTCCAAAAAGAAACTCCATGCCTGTTAGTCAGCAGTCCTCAACCACCACTTCCCCCAGCCCCTGGAAAGAACTAATCTGCTTTCTGTTTCTATAGATTTGCCTATTCTGCACATTTTATGTAAATGGAATCATACAATATGTGGTCTTTTGTGACAGAATTCCTTAACTTAGCATAATATTTTAAAGGTTCATCCATGTTGTAGCGTGTATCAGTTTTTCATTCATATTTTTAGCCAACTAATGTTCTATTCTATGGATATCCTACAGCTTGTTTATCAATTCATCATTAGTGGACATTTGGGTTGTTTCCACTTTTTGGCTGTTATGAATTATGATTCTATGGACAGATGCATATAAGTTTTTGTGGAAATACCTGCCAAACTATTTTCTGAATAATACCTTCATATTCCTACCAAAAAGGATTGGGTTCAAATTGCTAAACATTCTTGCCAACCCTTGTTATTACCAGTTTTTGTTTTTGTTTTAGTTTATTCATCCCTGTGGATATGAAGTGGTATCTCATGATTTTTCAGTTTCCCAATGACAAATGATGTAGAGCGTCTTTTCAAACGCTTATTGGCCATTTATATATTTGGAAAAGTATCTACTCAAATATTTTGCCATTTTTAATTGGTAATTTGTCTTTTAAATGTTGAGTTGTAAGAGTTATTTATATATTCTGGATACATGCCACTTATCGGACATATGATTTGCACTTATTTTCTCCCATTCTGTGGTTTGTCTTTTTATTTTCTTAACAGTAACTTCAAGACATGGAAATTTTTAATTCTAATTAAGTTCAATGTGTATTTTTTCTTTTGTCACTTGTGCTTTCAGTGTCATATCTAAGAAACAACTGTCTAATCCGAGGTCATGAAGACTTACTCTTATGTTTTCTTTTAAGAATTTTATGTTTTTAGTACTTTTATTTAGGTGTGTGATCAATTTTGAGCTAATTTTTTTGTTATGGTGTATGTTAGAATTCAACTTTATTCTTTTGTATACGGATATCTAAATGTCCCAGCACCATTTATTGAAAAAAACGATTCTTTCCCTATTGAATTTTCTGGGAACCCTTGTCAAAAATGAATTGAAAATAAATGTAATGGTTTATTTCTCATCTTTAAATTCTAGTCTATCGATCTGTATGTCATTCCTTATATCAATAACATGCAGTCTTGATTACTGTAGCTTTATAGTAAGTTTTTCAGTTGGAAAGTGAGTCCTCCAACTTTGTTTTTCTTTTTTAAGACTATTTTAGCTATTCTTGGTCTCCTGCATTTTATGAATTTGAATTTTAGGATCAACTTATCAGTTTATTCAAAAAAGACAGATATGATTTTGATAGGAATTCCATTGCATTGAATCCGTAGATCAATATGGGACACATTAAGTCTTTGGATCCATGAACATTCCATTCATTTAGGTCTTTAATTTATTTCAACTTTGTGTATAGATTTTGGTGTACAAATCTTGCACTTCTTTTGTTGAAATTATTTCTAAGCATTTTATTCTTTTTGATGCTATTGTATATTGAATTGTTTTCCTAATTTCATTTTTGGATTTTTCATTCCTAGTGAATAGAAATGCGATTGATTTTTGTATACTGAGTTTGGACCGTGTGTCCTTCCTGTAATAGTTGATCGAATCTAATGTTTTTATGGATTCTTTAGGATTTTCTATATGCCAAATCATATCATCTGCAAATAGAATTTTACTTCTTTCTATTTAATATAGGTGCCTTTTATTTCTTTTTATTGCCTATTAGCACTGGGTAAACACCTATTTGTCTATAGTTTTTATTTCTCATGATGTCATTGTCTAGTTTTGGTATCAGAGTAATACTGGCTTCATAGAATAATTGGAACATATTCCTTTTTCTTTTATGTTTTAGAAGTGTTTGTGAAGAATTGGTGTTAATTTTTCTTTAAATATTTGGTAGATTTATCCAAAGTAATCTGGGCCTGGGCTTTCCTTTGGGGAAAGCTTTTTTTTGGGTTACTATATCAATCTCTTTGCTTGAAATAAACTTATTCAGATTTTCTATTTCTTCCTTTGTCAACTCCTGTGGTTTTATGTATTTCTAGAGATTTATATATTTAATCTACATTCTCTAATTTGTGTAAAATTATTCATAATATTCCATTTTAATCCTAATTATTTTGGTATGATTGGAAGTGATATCTCCTTATTCATCCCTGATTTTGGTAATTTGAATCTTCTCTCTTGTTTCTCAGTCTAGCTAAAGGTTTGTCAATTTTCTTGATCTTTTCAAAGGATCAAATTTTAGTTTCATTAATTTTTCTTTATTGTTTTTCTATTCTCTATTAAGTTCTATCCATTTTAGAAACTGGGATCATGAAGTCTCCAGCAATTATTATTCAATTGTTTATTTCTCCCTTTAATTCTGTTGGGTTTTGCTTTATATGTTTTAGGGCTCTGTTTTTAAGTGCAAATGTGTATAATTGTTACATCTTCCTGATAGACTGACCCTTTTATTATTATAATGTGTCTTTCTTTCCCTCCAGTAAAAATTTTTCTCTTAAAATATGCTTTGTCTGATGATTATATAGCCAGTCCACCTCTCTTTTGGTTACGGTCTGCAGGGCATATCTTTTTTCATCCTTTTCCCTTTCATCTTATTTTTGTCTTTGAAACTAAATTATGTCTTTTATAGACAGCATGTAGTTAAGTTATGTGTGTTTGTGTGTTTGTAACCATTCTGCTAATTCTGACTTTTGATTGGAGCATTTAGTCCATTTACATTGAATGCAATTATGGATAAGGTATGATTTATGTCTGCTATTTTAAAATATGAAATATGTTATATGAAGGGCATACTTTTCTATCTTTATTTTATAATAGGTGTTATAGTGTTTTACATAACGTTTATAATATTATGTTAAAATAAAATGTAAGCATAAAGGATGATTTAAAATCTTTATTTAGTAAGCCCAACATTTAAACTTCCTTAGGGACAATGTTAGGGATAATTTCTTTTTTTAAAAAAACAAAATGTTTATTCTCAAATTAGTATTATTTTTTTCCATCCATTTTATTTTATTTTATTCATTGTACATGTTTATGTGGTACAATTTGTTGTTTCAGTACATGCATATATAGTTTAATAATCTAATCACAATAGTTAGAATATCTGACACCTAAACATTTATTTATTTGTGGTCATTACATTCAAGATCCTCTTTTGTGGCTATCTTGAAATATACAGTATTATTAGCTATTGTCACTCTAGAGTACCAGAACTTATTCTTCCTATCTAACTGTAATTTTGTAACTTTGTACCAGTCTACCAACTTTTCCTCAGCTTCCTCTCCCTCCACCCTTTCCCTGCCCCTGATAAACACTATTCTACTCTCTATTTCTCTTTTTTCTTTCTCTTTTTAACTTATTTTTTTAATTGACCCATGATAATTGCATATATTTACAGAGTACAATATGATAATTGGGTATATTCACACTGTGTGCAGTGAACATGTCAGGGTGCTTAGTATATCCATAACCTCAAACGTTTGTCACTTCTTTGTGTTAGGAACATTCGACATCATCATGACTTGCTGTTCAAAGATACACAGTACTTTGATGTTGACTGTAGTCTCCCTATGACTATAGAAACCTAGATCCCATTATTCTTATCTCTCCAATATTTTGTATTCACTGACAACCCTCTCCCCATCACCCCCTTTCCTTTCCTCCCATCAGTCTCTAGTAACTACTTCTACGAGATCAACGTTTCTAGCTTCCACATATCAGTGAGAACATATGGTATTTCTCTCTCTGTGCCTAGCTTATTTCACTTAATGTAATTTTCTCCAAGCTCATCAATGTTGCTGCAAAATTTCATTCTTTTTTATGGCTGAATAGTATTCAATTGTGCATATATACCATATTTTCTTCATCCAGTAATCCATAGAATGACATTTAGGTTGGTTCCAACTCTTTGCTATTGTGAATAGAGCCATGATAAACAGGGGAGTGTAGGTGTCCCTTTGAATTGTTGAATTCCATTCTTTTGGAATATATCCCATAGTGAGATTGCTGGATCATATGGTAGTTCTGCCTGTAGTTGTTTGAGAAATCTGCTTACTGTTTTATATA